AGAGAGAGCCAACCACTGCTTCAACCCAGTGCCAGTTTGGGATGCCATGCTGTAGGCAGAAGATTAACCTACTGTGCCACAGTGCTGCCCCCCTACCCGAATATTTTTGATCCACGATTGGTTGCATCCATGGATGCAAAGCCTATAGCTTTGGAGGGCTGACTGTATGTCTGTTATGTATATTTTTATCCCATATGGATCTCCTGTTGGTTATTGGTAAGGAGAACCCTTACTAACCCTTATTAGTTAAGGAGAACCCTTACTTGTTGTTAGGGCTGGATTACTCTCTTAACCATGTGTTGAGGTGTCTTGTCAGGAAACAGTTGAGAAGGCAGAGCCTGTTCCCTGACCAGGGCCCTTTTACAGGTAGGAGCCCCGTCCTCCTCTGCGGGTCCCTCTTGCTGCAGCTCATACTTGGAAGGGGTTACCTTGCCCAGTGCAGAAAGGAGTCTAGTTTAGAAAAAAACCAACCCTTTGCAGGTGATTCATCCCATTCCTAGTGTGGCTGTGTGTTTCTATATTGCTTTTTGCTGTGTTAGTGGTGTCCTTGCGGGCAGGGATGATAAATGTGCATCAGTTTTACAGTTGTGCATCCAGCGCGAGGTAGTCCTGAAATTAGACCCTATAGAATCTACACGTAAAGATTTACTTTCCTCATGTCCCTATTGTAAATTTCAGCTGAACCCAAACTAAGTGCATATTTCTACCTTAGGAAACCTTGAGTCAAATGCTTCAATTTTATGTGCTTTTCCATATGCGTGTGATAAAATAACAATAATTTTAATTAGAGATAAGCCTTTGAATCAAAATTTGGCGTTTTTTCAAGAAATGAAGAAAAAATGGATAGCTTAGCCTGCCTCACATTTTGTTTTGAGATCTGTAAATTCCTTTGACTCTTTGCACCACGCAGGACTCGTGGATCTTGCTTTCCACCCAGACCTGAGTCAAACATCCGTGCTTTCTATCCTGGGCAGCCCTGTGAACCGTTCACTTTACCTCCTGCTGCTCCCCTAACTGGCCTGCTCCAGTCTCGCTTTCCATCTGCTCCTGCAGTTGCCGCGGCTCCTGGCTTGCTTGGCCAGTGTCCCTTCCGATTCATTACATTCTCACCTTACAAGCAGAGACGCTGTGGCCTCCTAAGAACTGAGACAGAGGCAGCAAGAGCAGGATGGGCGTGGGCACTTATGTTTGGACAGCTCGATTTCATAGCCCTTTCCCTCCATATTTGTGTTCCAGCATGTCAACTCATAGGACAGCCTGAAACCCTTTTTTTTTTTTTGGTAGCTTTTTAAAAATATTTATTTTCTATTTATTTGAGAGGCAGAGGCAGAGATAGAGAGATGCCCAGCTGGGGAAGGCCATGGGCTTTGCTGTCGGTTGGAATGTCCTCTTCAGTGACTGCCAGCATGCAGGTGACATTCATCATCCGTGGATGTTAAAGAGGACCCCTGCAGAGGGCTTTTGCTTTTAGTGGTCTCATTCTAGCTCTCTTCTCTGAGTTAGTCTTACGTACTCTTGACGGATATGTGAAAACATTAATAAAGACTGAACAGCCTTCTTGGGACATTGTGTTACCTACTTGTTATCTTCAACTTCCTATAATCCAGAACTCTGTGCTGAGTGACTGTTTGGGAGGAAGAAGGTACATGGTATTGTCCAGGCATTGGCTGGAGTTGAAGGCTTTCAGAACATCGTGGTGGAACTCAGCTGACGAAGGCAGCTTCTTGGGGAGAAGTGTCCATGGGTTCTGTGGGGAGCAACTCGGACTAGACTGTTACTCGAATTAAGACTTATTCTATGCATCTGCTCTCCCACAGTATGGCGCTGGGAGAGGAGGAAACAGCTTCTACACAGCTGCCTCCAGTTCAACCAATAAACAGCAGGACCTGCTCCTGATTGGAGGAGAGCAGTGTACTCGGCGTGTGGGTAGCAGAGTTGGGATTGGTGGAAGAGGACTATAAAGGAGGAGAGAGACAACATGCACCAGGAACATCTAAGAGGAACACCTGAGGAACATCTGAGCAGCCCCCGAGAGAGCCGGCCGGCAGTGTGCCGCTCCCCCGCGGAAGTGGGGAAAGTGGCAGGGGGAACCGCCCTTCCACGGAGGTGGAAGGGACGGTAGCTAACCCGGGAAGAACCAGCAGCAAACCCGGGGAGGGCCGAGCAGACAAAAGAACAGCGCAGGGTCCTGTGTTGTTCCTCCGCGAAGACGGGGAGCGACATAATGGTGCCGTGACTCGGATAAGAAGCCTAGGCAGGGTTTAGTGTCGTTCCTCCATGAAGAGGGGGAGCGACAGGTTCTTGCTGTGTGCTGTGTTCTGGAAGTCGGACTGGCACAAAGCTTGCTGATCGAGTGGTGGTCAAGTGGCCATACACCCATATTTTGCCAGGTCCTATTTTCTAATCGGTTGTTTCCCAGGTCTGCAGGGTCCTAAGAGTGGCCAACAGGAGCGGGTTCTACCTGTGTGGATGAGTTCCACCCTGATGAGTCACATGTTCCTGGTGAGAGATTTGCCCATAGATAGAGTGGTCGGTACTGCTGCAAAGGAATGCATGATATTCTGTTGACCTGCGTCCTCTAAGCTGCAGTTAAGAAATCTTCGCGCCGTGAGCTCCGGTGTACATGAATTGATGTATTTTTCATACTCTTTAACGAGCTTGGCATCAGCTATATTAGTCTGTCTATCAGAATTTATGGTGACGTGCTGTTTCCCCACAGGGTTACATAAATGAGGAAGGGTTCCAGGTAAGCACATTTCCAGCTCATTCAGTGATTTCCCTTCAAGTGTCAGATTCTTTAAGAGGAGCTGTTTTAAAGGAGGTTTTCCTTTAATGTGTTGTACATCTTTAGCACTTTACACAGAAGAAGGCTAAAACGGTGTCTCCCAGGCAGATTCTCATCCCTGTGTGCTCTTGTATCGTGAGGGTGATTTTCCCTGAAGCAGTGGCAGTAAACACCACACCAGGCTGCTTTCTCGTCCCATCAAATGACTTGCGGCTGTTGTCTTTTCTGAGGTGTCAGCTTTGGCTTTATCTTGTCATTCCAGAGTTGGATGCAGTCAGTTCTTACTGCCGTACACATGCCTCTGGCGTGTTCCATCTCCCGAGCCCTTCGGCCTGTTTGGTGCTTCTCATTTGCTGTGCATTTGAAACCTGCTAGATAATCTTTCTGGAGTGTATTTCATTGAAGTGGAGGCTCAGAGTCATGCCTTGGGGGTGGGGAGAGAGAGAGAGAGATGGTTAAATTAGGTAGATGCTTTTCTGTGCAAATTTGAATAAGCCTGTGAGTAGCCAGAGGAGCTTTGGTTCATGTTACCCTTTAGGTTTATGCCTTAGGCTTATTTTGTTGTTCCTCAACTGTCTGTGGGGTGCTATGTGCTGGGAACATAGGGAGTTGATGTGAACGTTCTTGCTCTTCTCATAATCTGTTCTGGGGCTAGGGAAGTGACACAGTTCTCTCTCTCTCTCTCTCTCTCTCTCTCTCTCTTTTTGACAGGCAGAGTGGACAGAGAGAGAGAGAGAGACAGAAAGATTTTCCTTTACCGTTGGTTCACCCTCCAATGGCCGCTGCGGCTGGTGCACCACGCTGATCCGAAGCCAGGAGCCAGGTGCTTATCCTGGTCTCCCATGTGGGTGCAGGACCCAAGGACTTGGACCATCCTCCACTGCACTCCCGGGCCACAGCAGAGAGCTGGACTGGAAGAGGGGCAAGTGGGACAGAATCCGGCGCCCCGTTTGGGACTAGAACCCGGGGTGCCGGTGTCGCTAGGTGGAGGATTAGCCTATTGAGCTGTGGCGCTGGCCACAGTTGTCTCTCTCTCTCTCTTTTTTTTTTTTTTTTGACAGGCAGAGTGGACAGTGAGAGAGACAGAGAGAAAGGTCTTCCTTTGCCGTTGGTTCACCCTCCAATGGCCGCTGCAGCTGGCGCATCGCGCTGATCCGATGGCAGGAGCCAGGTGCTTCTCCTGGTCTCCCATGGGGTGCAGGGCCCAAGGACTTGGGTCATCCTCCACTGCACTCCCGGGCCACAGCAGAGAGCTGGCCTGGAAGAGGGGCAAGCGGGACAGAATCCGGCGCCCTGACCGGGACTAGAACCTGGTGTGCTGGTGCCACAAGGCAGAGGATTAGCCTAATGAGCCGCGGTGCCAGCCCACAGTTATCTCTTAATGTTTGCGGAGGATGGGTTCCAGAACCCACATGGATGACGGCATCTGAGGATTTCATGTTGTTATGTGTAATGGTGCAGTATTTGCATATAACCTATGCACAGCCTCCTGTATACTTTAACTCATGTCTCGAATACTGATAATACCTAATGCAACGTGGATGCTACTTATATGGGTGTTTCATGGTATTGGTTAGGGGATAACGGTAAGAAAACAATTCCTACCTAGTCAGTACAGATGAAAATTTAAAAAAAAAAAATTAAACCTGATTGTGGAAGCTGTGGATACAGAGCAAGGCAGAGACTATATGGCACAAGAATAAACATCCTGTGAGCTTGAAGGTAGCAGAAACATTTTAAATTTGCCCAAACTTAATGAAGATACAGGATATGGGAGGGTAGGAAGGGAAAGACTGATCATGGGGAAGACAGGGAGAGTGTGCGTGAAGGTGGCCAAGCAAGGGAGTGTGGAAGGAGTGGAATTTATTCATTGTGATTGAAGCATAAAACCTGTGGCGGTCATGTGCACAGGGGCAGTTGAGCTGTTGTTCACCTGCCTGCGGGTCATAGCACACAGCTCCTGGAAGGTGGGTACCTGTGCCTACTTACATAGTGTGACGGACGGCTACACAGCGCATGCACATCAAAGTTTGAAAACAAAATCACAATGGAGATTTTCTGATCAGACAAGCCTTTTGCAAAATATAGTTCTTGTCCTGAGTTTGGAAACATTTTGTTTTAAAAATGTTATGTTTTGGAAACTTTGGGTTTTGTTACAGTTTTCGTAGAGTTTGCAGCTGCACCTGATGGTAGTGTTTTTCTTTTGTGCTTCCAGTACAGCCAAGTACAGCGTGTTGACATTTCTACCTCGATTCTTGTACGAGCAGATTAGAAGAGCTGCTAATGCCTTCTTCCTCTTCATTGCCTTATTACAGGTAACGCTTTGTAAAGGTTACTTAAAATTTACAACCTTAATTACAATCAGGTTTCACTGACTTGTTGGTAAACTGGAAAAGTGATAGTTAAAATATTCAAATACGGTTTTCTTTTTCTAACTGCATCCCTCATTGTTTGATCATGAACAAACGTGATCTTTGCATAGAGACTTTTTTGTACTACTTTAAGGTTAACTGCAGTTACTAAAGAGGCATTGAAAAATGGCCCCCAGGTCTACTTTGACCTCTTTGTCTGTTCCAGATACATAGCCAGTGTGGGATAAAAAATTAAAAAAGATGTGAGGTACAAAGCTAGTTTTTACAGTAAGGTAATCGTCTTTGTGTCTCAGAAATGAAACAACTGCAAAAGAATGGCTGTGAGTGCTGTGGTTTCTTTTTCTTGGAGAGGGTTCTGACATGTCACCTTCCCTCTCTGGTCTCTTGTCTTGCAGCAAATTCCAGATGTATCTCCAACAGGACGATATACCACCCTGGTGCCATTGATCATTATTTTAACAATTGCAGGCATCAAAGAGATTGTAGAAGATTTTGTAAGTGTTTATTTTGGCGTATAAAAAACATTCTGTGGGATATAGCAGACCCGTGGACTGCTTTGGGTGGCTGGCGTGTTTAAGATGGGAAGCAGCCTCTCTAGACTCCTGGGAATATGTATGCAGACTATATTAAGTACTAACACAGTGTCACTGAAGCGTTCACAGTTTGTTTTCAAATGTTAGCTCTCTGAAACTCCTTTGAGTTCTGTCAAATATCCTGTGTTAGGGCTTGCTAAGTTGGGTAGCCAGTGAAGCAATGTGTTATGGTGTTAGCTAGGACACCAGCACTGTGCCTGCTCTACCTGAGGTCTTTTACAGTTGTCTGTCTTACTGCTCTCTCTTACCCTCGTGTATCTGCAAGTTTGTTGAGACAACCCTATTCCTGTTCTTTTTTTTTTTCCTTTTCCCTCTTTCCGTCTTTCTGTCCCCAGCCCACACACAAACACATGCACTTGCTCTTGCAAACCTATGTACATCTTCTTGGGAGTAGGTAGGTAAATGAATGTAATACAGATCAAAACAAAGACAATTTATTAGTAAAGTTAATTCAGTTGTTTGTTCTTGGCTAATCACCCTGAGTAATTTTTAGTCTGCTCTAAAACCAATGAGAAATGAGAAATTCTATAATCTAGAGTGCCACACCTGAAGTTTAGTCACTGGAACTGGAAAATAAAACCTTTGATCTGAGTTTTACAACATGAGTGCTGTTTGACTGTTAGCTTCTTTGTACCCTGTTTTTTCCCCTGGCCTTATTGTTTGATATTTCAATTATTCATCTGGAACTTGTGAGTATAAGAGCTCTTTTTTTTCTTTCTGTAACAGAAGCGACATAAGGCAGACAATGCTGTTAACAAAAAGAAAACAATAGGTAAGGCACCAGGCTGGACTACTCTTTCCATTATAAACTTAAGTATAAGACCTGCAGTTGAGAAATTCTGAATAGTTAATGATACTGAGGCAATTTGATAAAATTATCTATACAACTCTTTAAAAATAACAAATCAAAGAATTGTCCTTAAAATGAAGATTTGAATAGGATTTGTATATTTTAGGATTTTAGAAAATGTAATTTTTAGGAACTAAGGACTTTTTTTATGTCCTTACACATTCCAAGCGTGTACATCCTTGGTTTATAATTCCCTACCTCCCTATTTCTTCTTTTTATTTTTTTTGACAGGCAGAGTTAGACAGTAAGAGAGAGACAGAGAGAAAGGTCTTCCTTCCGTTGGTTCACCTCCCAAATGGCTGCCATGGCCGGCGCACAGCGCCAATCTGAAGCCAGGAGCCAGGTGCTTCCTCCTGGTCTCCCATGGGGTACAGGACCCAAGCACTTGGGCCATCCTCCACTGCACTCCTGGGCCACAGCAGAGAGCTGGACTGGAAGAGGAACAACCGGGACAGAATCCAGCGGCCCAACCAGGACTAGAACCTGGGGTGCTGGCGCCGCAGGCGGAGGATTAGCCTAGAGAGCCGCGGTGCCGGCCCCTATTTCTGCTTTTTATACTCTTGATTTCTATGATACCAGCTCTGTTTTTTGTTTTTTAAAAATTGTTTAACAGCAGGCTCTTTTCCTTCTGGACTGAATGTATATTTAATTTACATACATACGTAAACATTGATGTGTATATGTTACAGAGGTACAGGGAATGGGGGCTCCATTTTGGGGGGTGAGGATGTCATACCTTTCTGTCTAAGGATGAGGTATGTGAGAATTCATCATGGAATTTTAAAAGGAACTCTTTGAAGTTTAGAAATGATCCCATTTTGATTATCATCAGTATTAACTGACATTGTTTCTTCTTTTTCAGTGTTAAGAAATGGTATGTGGCATACCATTGTGTGGAAAGAGGTAAGAACTGATGTTAAGTATGGGCTTGGGCACTTGTAGTGAACTGCTGGCCCTCACTGCAGCACAGAGCTGTGCTGAGTCAGGGCTCATGTGGTCCTGAGCTCTGCTTAGATGCGAGGCACACTTCCTCCGTCCACACCCCTTGGGAAGGTGCGCCTGGGAGTCAAGCTGGATTTCCGTGTACCTGTGGATATTTCTGAATTCTCAGAACACTGCCTAATTTCTACATCTGTATGGATGCAGATTTTTTTTTTTTTACCAATTTTGCGTTGTTCTCTTAACCTAAAACTGAATTTTGAATTTTTTTTTTTTAACTTTTGATATTCTCACTTCTAACGCCCTGCGGCAGGGCAGAGAAGCCTGAAACACAGAGGGGGGGCAGGGAAGCCAGCTCATCTTGTTCCTGAGGCAGCGGTGGTTGGACATGACCAGTAGGTGCTGTTCCCAACTTTACAGTCACAAGGAAGGGATTGCTGACTGTGTGCTGTGCATGTCCGTGGAAGTAGGAAGTTTGGAAGGTCCTCAAATGGTGTGCTTGCTTGCCTGTTTCTAGTGATGAATGGAACATTTAGAAGAGATCTGCTGTACCATCTGGATATGTTGGTTTTGTCTCTGATAAAATGAGCTTCTTAAGAGAGCCTGTTTGAGCTGGGCCTTCTTAACAGACCTGGGCTGTTTTGTGGGATGACTCTCAGTAGTCTAGCATCTGAAGCTGATTAGTCCAGTTTCCAGAGAACACAACTTTTCAGAAGAGTAACTTACAGTTTTTTTCTTGCTTGACGTTTATTAAACATGGTTTTCCAAATGCCTCTTCTGGCCTGTAACATCTGAGAGAATGCCCACGAGAAGACACCTGCAGCATTCACTTTATTTTACGAGAACCAGCCTCTGTTGGTACACAGTTCCCCTGGGTAGTCTTTTGCAGCAACTCCGTATCCTCTGTAGCAGTCCGGAAGTCCTGCGCTGCAAACATCCATCGCCTCCCTCTTCTGTGGCAGTGAAGTCAGGTGGTTCTCAGTCAAGAGGTTGGGGATTCTTGACATCACAGAGGGAGAAATGTTCCCCATGCTGCAGGAATTCAAAGATTTCTACAACACTGGGAATTGCCCTTCTCTTTCTGTAGGGTTCCTCTTGCTGTTCCCTCCCCCAAAATGCACCTGCAGTGGCTGAAATGAAGCGTGATTTGGATTTTACTTGAAAGAGCAGGAGAGAGAGTGGTGGCAGATTTCTGCATCCAGGAGTTGATGGCTTTAATAGCTCCTAAAGCTCAGTACTGTGTCCCCCACACATGTGGGGGGAAGGCAGCGATAACAAAACACTGGTTACATGCTACCTGCATTCTTATGTCAATTCCAAAAGTGTTTTGATTGTTTGTTTAAATGGAGCTCTTTGCATGTGCCAAAGACTGTGCCAGGCATGATAAGAATAGAGCTTATCCTTGAGATGTCCTTGAGAAATCTTGCATGCAGTGGGTCTCTAATTTTGGTAGGTGTCATAGCCACCCGGAGGGCTGCTCCAACACAGGTCACTAAGCCCAATGGCCAGACTTTCTAATTTAGTGCGTCTCAAGTGGGGCCCTAGAATTTTCATATTTAGCAAGTTCCCACATGAGGTTAATGCTTTTGATTCAGGGAGTACACTGGAGACTACAGGTGTAGTGGAAGAGACAAGAGCTGACTATATTGCAATGCAGTGACTGAGCTCTGTGCTGGGTGTATGTCAGGTGCTCTGTGCAGGGTGTGTCTCAGGTGCTCTGGGGACATTGGGAGGGGCAGCTAAGCTGGACCTGCTGATTCAGCTCAGGAAAGGTTATCCTTGGAAGAGTTGTACAAGCCAGAGGGCGCCAATCTGGGAGGTGTCTGGAGAGCCAGGCCTAGCTGGACAGGGGGTGTGAGGAAGGGAGTACGGAAGAGGGCAGCAGTACCAGGTGTCAGAGCTGTCAGGCCAGGGGGATTGGCTGCCTTTCAGGGCCCCAGAGCACTAACAATCTAACGTGAAACACTGAAGGTCAAGACAGCCAGCCCCAGCTATCGCCAACCAGTGGGGGAGCACTGAGGGGCAGCTCTCTGGCAGATCTCAGTAGCTTTAACTGATTTTGACCCATCTTTTAGCATCTTAAAATTAAGACGCTTGCACCCTGTGAGGTTTGCAGTGGGTTCAGTCTTTTCCACTGTGCTAATTCTGTCAGATGGCATCAGACATACAAGAGACAGTCACGCATAAGAACATTAAGTAGATAGAGCATTTCAGACAAAATCACAAGGAACTTGTTTATCTTGTACATGAAACTTCTTAGTATTTGATTACTGGGATCTAAATGTCTCTTTATTTAGGAAGTCAAAGGAGGAGAAAGCCATAATTTGTCTTGTCCTCCCACTTTGAATTAAAAAAAAACAGTTCTTTTTCCTTTTGAATATATGACTAATTTTTCTCTTGCATTTTAAAACTAATTGCTTCTGATTTTTCTATGTAATTAAGCCATTCATGTAAAATATTTTTACTTTTAAAAAGCACTTTCAATTTACATTAGTATCACTAGTTTTTATACTTAGGCTGCTAAAATACTTCTACTCCTGTAGCATCTGTTTTTTAACTTCTCTTTGTGATGGAATATAATAATAGGTTGTTCTTTTGCTTTTAAATTGCATACTAACTTGTGTCTTTAAATTGGATACTAACTTAGAATATGAAGTGGTTCTACAGTTTAATTTTTACTGTTCTTTTCTGTGTTGAACCCAATTTCACAGACTTCCCCATAATGTGACAAGCAATTCACAGCAACAATAGCACACCTTTCAGTACCCCTGCTTTTTTTCCCAACCAAAAATTAAACTAGGCACTTACTAGCTTATAAAACCCAGTAGTTTCCCCACTAGTATCGCATCATTTGAAATCCTTGGTTTCTAAGAGATAAGCAACGTGGTTAGAACAGGAAACAGAAAACATAGGAGCCAGTTTTACCATTTGCAGTGACTGCTGCACTGGGAAAGTTGTCTTCCTGTATCGTCAGAGAATGCTGATGTCCTTGACTTTCATACTTGCAGTGTCCATCCAGTTACATCCATGCTGATGGGCTACCCTTAACCTGCACTCGTTGTGTGCCGGATACTGCCCATACTGCCCGAATCACTGCATCCACCAAACGAGGCCAGAAGTGTTGATACGGGGAACTAAGCAGGAGTTAGATGGGGGTAGATGTGCTGGGGTTTCTGCCAGCCCTGCAGTGCAACGTTACCCCCTCACCTGTCGGATTGATACACCCACCATCCCTTGATGCACCTGTGTCTCACTTGGGACCAAGAAGGAAGAGACGCCATGATGGCCATGTAGAAGTTCAACTCCACATGGTGGCGCCACTGTGTATGCTGTGTACACTGGTGTGTACAGACTCCGCCCTGTTTTTATGTTCAGTTAAGGCACCACTCGTTGTCTCATCAAAGAGACTGAGAATGTGAGAGAGGCTCCCTTTTGCCCTTGGCCATGCCTGGGGAACCTTCCCTACCTTCCACTCTCTCTCCTTTTAGGCAAGGATCTGGCCCACTCATGATACATGTCTCTCCAAGTGGAGTGGCCCACACTCACACGTGCATGTATGTTCATTCACTTTTTTTTTTGACAGGCAGAGTGGACAGTGAGAGAGATAGAGAGAGACAGAGAGAAAGGTCTTCCTTTTGCTGTTGGTGCCGGCACACCGTGCTGATCCAAAGGCAGGAGCCAGATACTTATCCTGGTCTCCCATGGGGTGCAGGGCCCAAGGACTTGGGCCATCCTCCGCTGCACTCCCGGGCCACAGCAGAGAGCTGGCCTGGAAGAGGGGCAACCGGGACAGAATCCGGCGCCCCGACCGGGACTAGAACCTGGTGTACTGGCGCCGCAAGGCGGAGGATTAGCCTATTGAGCCGCGGCACTGGCCGCCCATTCACTTTTATTTATTTATTTATTTATTTTTTGACAGGCAGAGTGGACAGTGAAGAGATAGAGAGAGACAGAGAGAAAGGTCTTCCTTTGCCGTTGGTTCACCCTCCAATGGCCGCTGCTGCCAGCGTGCTGTGGCCGGCGCACCGCGCTGATCCGATGGCAGGAGCCAGGTACTTCTCCTGGTCTTCCATGGGGTGCAGGGCCCAAGGACTTGGGCCATCCTCCACTGCACTCCTGGGCCACAGCAGAGAGCTGGCCTGGAAGAGGGGCAACCGGGACAGAATCCGGCACCCCAACCAGGACTAGAACCCGGTGTGCCGGCACCGCAAGGCAGAGGATTAGCCTAGTGAGCCGCGGCGCTGGCCCCATTCACTTTTAAATAAATCCTGCTTTCACTTGTGTGCTATTGTGGATGCCTCTGCTTTGAGTACGTACCTCTGAGGGGGCACTGAACCTGGAATAGAGGTTGATACCTAGGCCCATAGTGGCAGTATTTCCCATGTTGGAAGTGAGGGCCCTGGAGTTCCAAGAGGGAAGCCATAGCTGGTGCCCCTCTGTGAAGCTGGGATTCCACCCAGGCTGGCCTGACTTGAAAGCCCTCAATCTCTCCAGCCTGGTGCAGTCTGTGGCATTATGTAGAGGGTCATAGACACTGGGCCACAGTGCTGCTTTGGAGTCTATAGCCTGTTTTCTTGGCCTGGGGGCTTCTGAGGCCTTTGTTTCCCAAGCTGTGATTCTGTTTCTGGCAGTCTTTCGAAGCTTTGCAAATCTTCTCTCTTTGATGCGGTAGATTTTTGGAGACCTTTCAGATGTACTCTTAATGGGTAAATTTGGTAATTTTTTTTTTTTTTTTGACAGGCAGAGTGGACAGTGAGAGAGACAGAGAGAAAGGTCTTCCTTTTGCCGTTGGTTCACCCTCCAATGGCCGCCACAGCTGGCGCGCTGCAGCCGGCGCACTGCGCTGATCTGATGGCAGGAGCCAGGTGCTTCTCCTGGTCTCCCATGGGGTGCAGGGCCCAAGGACTTGGGCCATCCTCCACTGCACTCCTGGGCCACAGCAGAGAGCTGGCCTGGAAGAGGGGCAACCAGGACAGAATCCGGCGCCCCGACCGGGACTAGAACCTGGTGTGCCGGTGCCGCTAGGCAGAGGATTAGCTTAGTGAGCCGCGGCGCCGGCCGGTAATTACTTTTAATCAGAATACTGGCCTTCTAGTCAGAGTGCCTAGTTTTGAGTCTTGGCTCTAACACTCTCTGGCTGTGTGACTGGTCAAGTTATTTTGCTTTGAGTCTCATGTGCTGCTTGGAAAGCAGAGAGGATTGTATATGCATTAACTCAGTTGATCCACACAGTAACTGCATGAAATATGTGCAACTGTAGATGAGAAAACTGAGGCGGAGCTTGTTAGTCAGGGGTGTAGTTGGGGACTGGGACCCAGGTTCTTTGGTCAGCTCCACTCAACTCTGCAGCTATAGAAACAGCCACGCATTGTTAATGGATAGGTCATTGTAAGAAAATGACCTCTCTATGGTTCTGACTCATCCCTTTTCTCCCTCTTTCTCCTTTCTTAGAAACTTGTTTTCATTAAATGTCATTGCAAAAAAAGGACAATAGAGTTGTCTCAGTATCTGCGGGGGGTATTCCATTATCCCTCTCACTGCCCCCTACCCAGGATGCCCAGGTCCTGGTGTCCTTTGTGCACATCACCCATGCATATTCTCCCATACACGTTACATCATCTCCAGATCTGTGTAACACCATGAAAATCACCAATGAAAATCCATGTGAATGGTTGTTCTGTTGTGCATGGTTTAGGGAGTCATGACAGAAGAAGGAGGCTGTATAGTCCAGATGGGATTTTGCTTCTGAATGTTTTGGGGCCCTTCCTGGCTGAATCTGTGACTGTGGAACTCATGGATGTGGAGAGCCGGTGGAAGTACCAGTTGCCATGTGCCGTGTTTGGGCTTCTCTGAATTAAGCATCATGGCTTCGTGGTGTGGTATTTTTTCTGCACGTGTCTAACCACCTTGACCACTGTTTGTGCTTCCTTTTCTTCTGTGCCTCTGTCCTTGTCCCCGGTCTCCAGGTGGCAGTGGGCGACATCGTGAAAGTCCTCAATGGGCAGTATCTTCCAGCAGACATGGTCCTGCTCTCCTCCAGGTCAGGTGTGCCGCTGGGCACTTTTTTTTTTTAATAAATGTTAAGAACAATAAAATGTTAAATGGCAACTGCAGAAATCCTGGGCCACCTTTTCCCTGTGATCCTGTGCGTGACATCCTTTTCCTCCTTATCCTGTTCCTCTCTAATCCAAAAATCTGAAATTCTATAATTTGGAGCATTTTGGATTTAGGATTTTTAGATAAGGGATGCTCAACTCATGCCTGGATCCTACATTTTCTTTGTCTCATTCATTCCTTTGGGAGTTTTCTGAATTCTTATATAGATTGACTCATTTTAGTGCCTTGGCTATTTCTTGAAGGGGGGGTGTCTTCACTTATAGGGACACTGACCCCAGAGCAGTGGACCCCTGGGGATTGTAGCACATCTTAATCATCAGCATCAGCTTCCTGTTGGGTCCAGGCAGCAGCCCATCACACAGGACCCATTGCCGCCCTTGAATAACTGTTCAGAGTACCATGGGCATTGTCTCAACATAGGCATGGTGTATGCTTTTTACTTGTTTGTATTTTTCTCCCTTTCTGTCCAAATATCACTGCCATGTTCTTTGGTAGCTTTGTGCTAGAAATATATCAGATATATCACCCCTCAGTTATACATGTAGTGGACAGCACAAACCTTGCCTTTTTAATAAAGATTTATTGATTTATTTGAAAGGCAGAGTGGCAAAAAAATGGGGAGAGAGAGAAAGAGAGAATATTTCATTTGCTGGTTCACTCCCTAAATGGTTGTAACAGCAATGTCTGGGACAGGCAGAGTTAGACAGTGAGAGAGAGAGAGAGAAAGAGAGAGAAAGGTCTTCCTTCTGTTGGTTCAACCCCCAAATGGCCGCTACAGCCGGCACGCTGCGCCGATTAGAAGCCAGGAGCCAGGTGCTTCCTCCTGGTCTCCCAGGCGGGTGCAGGGCCAAGCACTTGGGCCATCCTCCACTGCACTCCTGGGCCACAGCAGAGAGCTGGACTGGAAGAGGGCAACGGGGTGCCGGCGCCGCAGGTGGAGGATTAGCTTAGTGAGCTGCAGCACCGGCTAAGGTAGCCTGCTTTTACAATATCCCATTTAATCTTCCCAGTAGCCGTTTCTATTTTTCCTTTATACATGAGAAAACAACATACTGTTTAGTCCATAAAGTCATAGAAGTCCATAAAGGCCGCATAAGCCCATAAAGTTAGCCCAGCAGAATTTTTTTATTTTTATTTTTATTTTTTATTTTTTTTGACAGGCAGAGTGGGCAGTGAGAGAGACAGAGAGAAAGGTCTTCCTTTGCCGTTGGTTCACCCTCCAATGGCCGCCGCAGCTGGCACGCTGCTGCCGGCACACTGCGCTGATCCGATGGCAGGAGCCAGGTGCTTCTCCTGGTCTCCCATGGGGTGCAGGGCCCAAGGACTTGGGCCATCCTCCACTGCACTCCCTGGCCACAGCAGAGGGCTGGCCTGGAAGGGGGCAATCGGGACAGAATCCGGCGCCCCGACCGGGACTAGAACCCGGTGTGCTGGCGCCACTAGGCGGAGGATTAGCCTATTGAGCCGCAGCGCCGGCCAGCCCAGCAGAATTTTAATTTAGCCTGTGGGTTGCACAGTCCATTCTTGCCACCACTGACTATGCCGACTAACCCAAACTCAAAGATGAGAACTGGGAGAATAGCACCGATGCACTCAGGTTTTTATTCTTGGGATATTCTGACCTTCACACTGGGTGCTTTGGGGTGGGCATTTGGCTCAGGGGTGGAGATGCCGCTTGGGATGCCCACAGCCCATGTTGGGATGAATGCCTGAGTTCTAGACCCAGCTCCACTCCCGATTGCAGCTTCCTGCTGATGGACACAGTCTGAGGCCCTAAGTGATGGCTCAAGTACTTGGGTCTCTGCCACCCCCATGGGAGACCTGGATTGAGTTCCTGGTTTCTGGCTTTGGCCTGGCCCAGCCCTGGGTGTTGTAGGCATTTGGGGAGTGAATCAGTGGATGGAAAATTTCTGTCTATCTTGCCTCACTCTGTCTTTCAAATACATTTAGTAAATAAATCAAAACTAAAAAACTTTTTTGTTTATCTGATTAAAATTTGCCCTTTGATTTGGTAAAAAATGCAGCCAGGAGCAGGCATTCAGCCTAGTGCCCATGTCCTGTTTTGGAGTACTTGGGTTTGATTTCCCACTCTGTCTCCTGACTCCAGCTTTCTGCTGGTGTAGACCTTGGGAGGCAACGGGAGATGGCTCAAGTACATGGGTCCCTTTTCCCCATATGGGGGACCTGACCTGAGCTTTGGGCTCATGGCTTTAGCCTTGGCCCAGTCCTGCCTGTGGTGGGCATTTGGGCATATGAATCAGTGGATGGAAAATCTGTCTGTCTCTCTGCCTTTCAAATAAATACGTTAAATTGGAAAAAAAAAAAAAACTTAAGAAAATTGCAAAGAAGCAAAGGCTCTGCCTCAATCCTTCAGTTTAGGCTGTGATTTTCTTCAGATGAGTTGTTCTGGCCACGCCTGAGTCACCTCTATTGGTCAGGGTGAGGCTCAGCCTCAGATTTTGAGGACCACTCCCACCCAGTGTCCGGGTCTTAGCCGGACCATCTCTTGTTTCAGGCCACAGGTTCCCCCCCACCACCCATTCATCCCCAGTCCTGTCTGCCTGACACCCTGCAGTCGGTAGGTGGGACCTGGGAAGACAGCTGTCTCTTGATGTTGAGCCCCAAAGATGAGTGTGTGCCTTCCTTTGTCAGCAGTGACAACCACTGACATGGCCGTTGATAACAACTTAATTTGAGGGATTGATTGGCACACATAGTTTCTGTAATAGTGATTTTCTGAACAGTAAATTTGTGGAGAAGACTACACTGAATTTGACTTTTTTTCTTTCTTCCCTAGTGAACCTCAGGCAATGTGTTACGTTGAAACAGCAAATCTCGACGGCGAGACAAACCTTAAAATACGCCAGGTAAGGTCACTTTTGTGACTTGCACTGTCTTGGGAGCCCAAGTTGCATGCGTGGTCCTCCCATACGTGCCACTCCATGTCTTTTCTAGAGAGAAGCATGTTCAGCCACAAAAGGGTGGGGAATGCCTTGAAAGTGGTGGGAGAGACGAAACATGGGCTTCAGCACAGGATCGCTTGCCAAGGACGCCGTGCCTTTGTTTCTGTCTTCTGAGCTCTCTGCTGTGATGCCAAAGACAGCACACACTCAGCTAAGATGAGCTCATGATAGAAGGGACGGTGACTGCCTCGGAGGGACGGAGCAGATGAGCCTCGGGTGTCTCAGTGTAGGCCGCTGCTGGAGCTTAGACGCTAGTTCTAGAGAGTGGTATAGCAGACAGGAAGTGCCCATGCTGTAAATATTCTGACTATGTATTTTTAATTCTACAATGAAGAAGTTTTCAATATCTAAAAATTTTAAGCATTTTGACACTGCTGCATGCAGTTGAATTTAATATTTCTGTCCACTTTTTCTTTTCTACTATAGGTTTTTGCTTTAAACATTTTTTTTTTTTTCTGTTTAAAGAAGAGTTAACAAGGTTTGTGGTACTAGTCTGTTTTGGTGTATATTTCAAAATGTATAGAAAAATCCATTTATTTTTTTCAAAAAGAAGAGGTGAGTGCTACGTAGTGTAAAATATTAAAGAGATACTCAATTTTAAGAGTGATGCCATAAAGCTAGTAGATTATGCTTTCTGTAAGGTGTGTGAGTATGATAATTAACACGGATGTTTCTCACCCAGTGGTGGAATCTTCACTTTCTGCTTCATTGAAATCTCTGCTACTTTTGCATTAGATTGTTGTGACACAAGCTGCCAATAAAGTCTATCAGATTTGATTTATCAAATTATTGCATCATTTCTTTGTGATTAAGGAGATGCTGAAAGTTGTTCCTTAAATATGGGAGATTGTGTTCAGCTACCTCTTTTGTGTAACGTTTTAGGGTTTGAGTCACACTGCTGACATGCAAACAAGGGATGTGTTAATGAAGTTATCTGGAACTGTAGAATGTGAAGGGCCCAATCGCCACCTCTATGACTTCACTGGAAACTTGAACTTAGATGGAAAAAGGTATCATTTTTCCTGTTCTCAGTATTTTTTTTTGTAATATAACTAAGAGTTATTGGAGTTTTGGAACATGCATTTGTTTTCTACTTTCATAATATTTTAGAATAGTGAGATTTCTTCATATTAGCTTAGCTATGGCACCCTGAGCTTTTCTTGAGCCACCATTTCAATAAATTCAAAATTTCCATTAAATTGAAGTAAAACCTAATTTTTACACAAGAAAAGAGTCTGTGGGACTCTGATGAAGTTCATAGCTTGTGGTCTGCTCTTTCTGTGCCATAACTGCCAAGCAAGGTAAATGGTTTTAGCTGTGTGTACTTGTCCAGAAAAGCAGAAGGCAGGTGTCTGAGGTGCACCGAAGCTGCTAGACTCAGGAGAGAAATTTATTGTTTGTTTTGCTAGCATTCTCCTGAATAGCACTCGCTTGTTTTTAGAGTCCAGTGAAGGATTGCTGTTTGTTTAGAATCTATTCAGTGCCCTGTTGTCTGTATTCTGTTGTCCTCTTTGGTGTTCATTGTTGAGAGTCCTATGTTGTCATGACGCTGGGGAACAGTTTCCATCTTCTGCCCATCTGTTATCTGCATGCTTCTGACCAGTGCTCCCCAGACCTGTTGGACTGTCCTTTATGTTTTGTGTAGAATCACGGCTTGGGTCGTTGGACTTGGCCCACAGTAAATATGAAGGCAAAGTGGGCTTGCTTGTGGCTTTTTACTTAGCATGCATACCCGTTTTCTTGGCTACCCATTTTGAATGTCTAAATTATCACTCAGGTATTTATATAATCATTAAGTATTCCCTAACAAACTTGATAGCTTAGGTTTACTGCTTTTCACATTTTTTTTTCCTCACAATAACCTATCAAATAAACTCAATTTCCCAAATGGAGAGGGTTTTGGTTGTTGTCTTGGCAATTTTATTTTGGGTGATGAATTTCATCATGGGATTATAAGAGATATGATTCTCTCTAATGTTTTATCTTTTAAAAAAGATCCTTTATCTGTAGTGATGAGTGGATAAAATAGATCTTTTATCTGGGTGTTTTTTGGAGTAGAATAGGCCAAAGATAACCTTTGTGTTTCTCCATGAAGTAATTCAAATTTGACTAAAGGAAACGTTGGGTTTATCGTGGGGTTATGTGTAAGGGGAACTTCATGCTCACTTGTCAGACTATCATTAAATGTAAATGTTGTTTCTTATTTTTAGCCCTGTTTCCCTTGGGCCTGACCAGATCTTATTAAGAGGTACACAGCTTAGAAATACTCAGTGGGTCTTTGGCATAGTTGTGTATACTGGACACGACACCAAGCTCATGCAGGTAAAACATTTCTATGCTGAAAAACAATACTGATTTTAGTCTTTTTCTTTCTTTTTATTTTTATTGAATACAGGGTGGAAAATACAGATACTGCATTTAGGAGGCTCAAGTTTGTCTAGGAACCTAAATCTGGAAAGGAAGTGACTTTATTTTAGTTTTGTAGGTAACTTCTGGATCTCTGTTATCTTATCAGATATCTGTTACCTCTTACCTGAAATATAAATAAGTGGTCTTATTTTTTAAGTTTTAGGGGGACAATCAATTCTAAATTATTTGTCTTCTGAACTTCAAAGGGGAATTAGTTCCAACTTTTTTCTTCTTTCTCTACTTTTTCTCTTCATTTCACTAAGATGTTATAGTAAATTGTCTTAAATAACTAAATTCTAGGCAATTTATAATCTGTTATTGTTGAACTAGTATTTATTCTTCATATACCAAAGGAAAAATATTAAGTTAATGTGATTTTGCTTTTTCCTTGTTGATTTTTTTAAAAAACTATTGCTTGTGAATTTGTAGCTTGCATATATGTTATGATAATATTTTCCAGATATCTTTTGAAATTCTACATGAACCAGTGTCCCTATGTGCCGTTTCTGTTCTTTTGTGTCATTTGGTGTCTTATTTCACTAATGGAAGCTGTTAATGAGAATTGGTTTTTCAGCTCATTTACCCTTTTGTATAACTTCTCAAGCACACAGTTGGCTATATTTCTTAATCAAAAAGTATTTAGTGACCACCATGCACCAAGTCTTGTGCTGGCTATTTGGTACCATGGTGAAAGGCCCAGGCTTACCCTATGGGAAATGGGTAGACTAAAGAGTAATTCAGTATCACAAAGTAGAGAGATAGTGGTTGTGTTATGTGTTATTATGAGATGCTGTGATGTTTGTAGAAGGGTCATCCAACCTAAGTTTGGGGATACAGTTAACGGGATACCAAAAATGAGCCCTGGGCAAAAGCAGGCTTTAGAATATTGAATTGGTGAAGGCAGACTATTGCGCTGATCCCCTCTTTGAGGTCAAAGGCTAGGAAGATGAGGAAGGTAAATATTAGACCAGGTCAAGTGTTGGAGCCTGTGACCACGCCAGCTAGTTAATGCAGTGAAGACAGGGAAGGGAGATAGGATTAGAAGGGTTGAGAGACTCATTGGGGCTGACCAGGATTGGTGGAGTTGTAGAGTGGCTGGATGATCGGTGTGCAGGATACTTGACCTTGAGTGTTTGAGGTGGAAGTATTATAGCCTGGCAAGACCTGAGGGTAAACCATGTGAGGAGGATGCTCAGATAGAGCTACTGAAAACCACTCATTCTTGGGCATAAGGGACAGAGACTAAGGCATTCAGTGGGATGATGGCTGTGTTCAGGAAGAAAGGATGGTGACAAAGCTGGGGCAGAGAACACCATGAGCCAAGTTAAGTCTTCAGTGAGTGAGGGGGAGTGACTGATGGGTCTTGCTGGGTGGGGAGAGAAGGCACAGGATGGTAATTTTTGTGTGTTTTTTTTTTTTTTTAAACATGACATTCGACAAATAAAGGTTCAGAAGTATTGCCAAGTCTTGAATATATATCCAGTAATACAACATCAGATGCCAAAAGATGTGTCTTTACTGGGGTACCCTCTGCCTGAAGAGGCTTCAGGGAAGATGTAGCCTCAGCAGTTAAGGAGGAGGAGGACCTGGCACAGTTTTGGTCCTGGGAGGGTAGGACCCAGGTGCAGAACGGCTGCAAGGGTTGTGTGCTGGGTGAGCAGGTGAGAGGGCTCTGTGGTGGTTAGAAGCATGGACGGTTGGTGAGTGCTGAGAGGCTGCTCTTGGGTGGATTGTGATTGTTCTCTATATCTGAGATGTGCTGCCTCTGCTGCAGCTCTGTCCATTTACAGGGGCTGATTTGAATGCCTACAGTATGTTGTTGCAGAGCAGTCTGTACGGAAGGACTTTATCTTGATGTAGTTTTGTGCTCTGCCACCTGCTAAGAAGTCTGGAACTTCTGCTGTCCAGTGTCAGAAACCACTGCCAGGTGCTTGGAGCTCCACTAACCACAGATCAGGCCTTCCATTTCTTAGGATGAAATGACAAAAGTATCATGAATGGTTAGCCCAGACTTGGGCAGGGCCCCAAGACCAGTTTTCAGATTGCACATATTACAAAATTGGGCACCCTGCAAGATTTCATGGACACTGGGTATTTTTTCTCAGAGTGCTTTTCAAGATCATATATTGGTCAGTACAGCTTTGTAGCTAAGGTATAAGAATTAGGTTAAATAAAGGCGCTTCAGGTTCATGGAAATTGACTTAAAGAAGTGTATTTTGGTGCAAAAATGTTGAAATCCACATGTAGTTTTTTCATAATACACATTTTCCACAAACTTTCTGGTGATCCCAATGTTTACATGGATTTAAACATTTTTGGCACCAAAATAATAGAGCTTTAATTCCATTTTGGATGACATTTAAAAGATGTTTATTTTTCTCTATGAGAGAGAGAGAGAGAGATTAAGAGAGAGAAATGTCTTTCATCTGCTGGTTCACTGCCCAGTTCCACAGCAGCCAAGGCTAGGCCAAGCCAGTCAGGAGCCCAGCACTCCATCTGGGTCTCCCACATGGGTAACGGGGATCCAGGCACTTGAACCTGTTATCTCCCAGGAAGCAGTGGCAGGAAGCAGAATCAGAAGTGCAGTGGCCAGGACCTGAACCCCCACCTCCCATATGGGATACAGGCGTTTCAAGTGGCAGCTTAGCCTGTTGCACACCACACCCACCTCCTCCTCCATGATGCTTTTGACATACCCTTGCACATTTCATACGCTTCCATCCTGTCTTCAGTGACAAGGTGTGCTCTAGGGGATCCTGTGCAGTTTGTATCCTGAGTGTGGGAGGCACTTGGCCTTGTCCCTCATGTGATAACTCCCCTGGCAAGGCTTACTGTGGGTTGACTGTTGGAGTTCAGGATGATGGAAAACCCCAGAAACAACTGTGCTAGACTTGCTGTGCTGTAGGACTGAAAAGAGTAAAAATAATGAGCCTTCTAAAGAAATATAATGTAGCGCACAGAGCTGGAAGCCCTTTCCGTCTATACTCGCACTCCTTGACCACAGACAAGCAACTGGATTGGTGCAGGGTCCTTCTAACCTGGAAGGCTCCCTCCGTTCACATGTGGTGTGAAATATTTCAATCTACTAGTTCTGTTGGTTGAATTAATGGGAAAGGGATCACCACATTACAGCAAACAACCGCAAATTGTGCCTTACTCTAAGTGATTAACATGTATTAACTCATTTATTGCTCACCATGGCTGTATGAGGAACATACAGATAAGTACTTCTCATTTCTAGAAGAGGGAATGGAGGCACGGAGTGTCTAAATTATCCCAATCTTGCAAACCTGGGGAGTGGTAGGGCTGGGATTCACATGCAGGCAGTCAGGCCACACAGAGCCAGTGTTCCCACTCACATTCTTCCGCCTGCTTTCTTAGGAGGGAATAAAATGAATCAGTTTCAGGTCTGGTTTTAGCTTTTTCAAAATCTGACACTTGACCTGTTTCTATTTACAATTCCACTCTGAGGAAATAGCAATATTCTTTAAGAATTTTATACAAATATTTCAAAACCTTTGTGAAAAATGAAGTTAAGATGTAAGTTTATTTTGGTGAAAATTTTAAAAAAAACCTGTGCATAGTATTTTTCGTAATATGCACTTTCCTTGAGCTCTTGGAAGGACCCTCACAGGAACGCTTATGACTCTTTGAGGAATTTGACATTAAAAACGCATCTCTGCAAGTAGAAATCTTCGTGGCATGGGGTAAGAACGCATAGACAGAGCTTGGCTTTCAGTAAGGACATATATGGAAGCCGGATGTTTTTGGGATTGTTTTTGTTCCACTGGATGAAAGATAAATTTTTGTAACCCTGTTTAACTGGTCAGAATTCATCTACTGGAAAAGATTAGAAGTCAGTGACTAATGGGGTCAGAGGAATGAAACTTGTTGTCATTTTTTTTTTCAATGAATGCTTATTGAAAATGGTAAGATCATCATTTGTTTTTAAAAGAGTAGGATAAATGGAGCCGGCGCTGCGGCTCACTAGGCTAATCCTCTGCCTTGCGGCGCCGGCACACCGGGTTCTTTTTTTTTTTTTTTTTTTAACTTTTATTTAATGAATATAGATTTCCAAAGTACAGCTTATGGAATACATTGGCTTCCCCCTCCCCCCTGATGACTTCCCTCCCACCCGCAACCCTCCCCTTTCCCGCTCTCTCTCCCCTTCCATTCACATCATGATTCATTTTCAATTTTCTATATATACAGAAGATCAGTTTAGTATACATTAAGTAAAGATTTCAACAGTTTGCACCCCCATAGAAACACAAAGTGAAATATACTGTTTGAGTACTCGTTATAGCATTAAATCTCAATGTACAGCACATTAAGGACAGAGATCCTACATGAGGAGTAAGTGCACAGTGACTCCTGTTGTTGACTTTACAAATTGACACTCCTGTTTATGGCCTCAGTAATCTCCCTATGCACCAGTCATGAGTTTCCAAGGCTATGGAAGCCTTTTGAGTTCTCTGACTCTTATCTTGTTTAGACAAGGTCATAGTCAAAGTGGAGGTTCTCTCCTCCCTTCAGAGAAAGGTACCTCCTTCTTTGAAGACCTGTTTTTTCCACTGGGATCTCACTCACAGAGATCTTTCATTTAGGTTTTTTTTGTTTGTTTGTTTGTTTTTTGTTTTTTACCAGAGTGTCTTGGCTTTCCATGCCTGAAATACTCTCATGGGCTTTTCAGCCGGATCCGAATGCCTTTAGGGCTGATTCTGAGGCCAGAGTGCTGTTTAGGACATCTGCCATTCTATGAGTCTGCTGTGTATCTCGTTTCCCATGTTGGATCACTCTCCCCTTTATTTATTCCATCGGTTAGTATTAGCAGGTACTAGACTTGTTTATGTGATCCCTTTGACTCTTAGTCCTTTCATTATGATCAATTGTGAACTGAAATTGATCACTTGGACTAGTGAGATGGCATTGGTACATGCCACCTTGATGGGATTGAATTGGAATCCCCTGGTATGTGTCTAACTCTACCATTTGCGGCAAGTCAGCTTGAGCATGTCCCAAATTATACATCTCTTCCCTCTCTTATTCCCACTCTAATGTTTAACAGGGATCACATTTCAGTTAAATTTCAACACTTAAGAATAACTGTGTATTAATTACAGAATTAAACCAGTCATATTAAGTAGAACAGACAAAAAAAATACTAAGAGGGATAATGTATTAAGTTGTTCATTAACAGGGCTATGCTGATCGAGTCACCATTTCTCATAGTGTCCATTTCACTTCAACAGGTTTCCTTTTTGGTGTTCAGTCAGTTGTCACCGATCAGGGAGAACATATGATATTTGTCCCTTTGGGACTGGCTTATTTCACTCAGCATGATGTGTTCCAGATTCCTCCATTTTGTTGCAAATGACTGGATTTCATTGTTTCTTACTGCGGTATAGTATTCTAAAGAGTACATATTCCATAATTTCTTTATCCAGTCTACCGTTGATGGGCATTTAGGTTGGTTCCAGGTCTTGGCTATTGTGAATTGTGCTGCAATAAACATTAGGGTGCAGACCTCTTTTTTGTTTGCCAATTTAAATTCCTTTGGGTAAATTCCAAGGAGTGGGATGCTGGGTCGAACGGTAGGGTTATATTCAGGTTTCTGAGGAATCTCCAGACTGACTTCCATAGTGGCTTGACCAGTTTGCATTCCCACCAACAGTGGGTTAGTGTCCCTTTTTCCCCACATCCTCGCCAGCATCTGTTGTTGGTAGATTTCTGTATGTGGGCCATTCTCACCGGGGTGAGGTGAAACCTCATTGTGGTTTTGATTTGCATTTCCCTGATTGCTAGTGACCTTGAACATTTTTTCATGTGCCTGTTGGCCATTTGGATTTCCTCTTTTGAAAAATGGCCCATCTCTTAAGTGGGTTGTTGGTTTTGTTTTTGTGGAGTTTCTTGATCTCTTTGTAGATTCTGGGCACACCGGTTTCTAGTCCCGGTTGGGGCGCCGGATTCTGTCCCGGTTGCCCCTCTTCCAGGCCAGCTCTCTGCCATGGCCAGGGAGTACAGTGGAGGATGGCCAGTCTTTGGGCCCTGCACCCCATGGGAGACCAGGAGAAGCACCTGGCTCCTGCCTTCGGATCAGCGTGATGCGCAGTCCACAGCACGCCGGCTGCGGCAGCCCTTGGAGGGTGAACCAACGGCAAAAGGAAGAGCTTTCTCTCTGTCTCTCTCTCTCACTGTCCACTCTGCCTGTCAAATAAATAAATAGATAAATAAAAATAAAAGAGTAGGATAAATGGTCTTGGAACTGCTCTGCTGTGTCTTGGCTGGAGGCCCGATACAGATGTGTCATTCCTGTTGGCCTTTATATGGTATTTGACAAAGTGGCCTTCCCTAGTGGATTTATTTCCATTTAAATTCAAGAGGAATTTTTTTTTTTAAGTCTGTAAAGTCTGGTTAATTTAGAGAACTTCCCTCTTCTAGCCTCTAATGGTGCCTGCCCCCTGGGCTTGTGGTCCCCTCTCCATCTTCAGAGCCAGCAGTGCAATGTCTGTCTGGTTGTTCATGTGTAGTCACCTGCCCTCCGGCCACAAGTAAGAAAGCCTCTCTCTTTTCATGACCCTTGTGATGAGAATGGGTCCACTTGGGTAATCCAGGATAATCTCCCCATCATAGCTGCACCATCTCTTTTGCTATATAAAATAACACACAGTTTCCAGGGATTGGGAGATGGATATCACTGGTGGGGAATTATTTTGCCCATTACAGCTACCTTCAGAAATCTTTCTTTAGGGACATATGCATCTTTTTGTTTTGAAAGAAAAAATTGTATTAACAGTAACTGTACATACCTAGGGGCCACAGTGCAATATTTTAATAAATGTATATATGATGTATACTGACCAAATCAGGATAATCAGTATTTTCTCTTTGACATTGCTTTGTGATCGGAGTTGTGGGGAGCAACTGGGAGCAACTCGGACTAGACTAAGTTATTGCAATTAAGACTTATTCTATGCATCTGCTCTCCCACAATATGGCGCTGGGAGAGGAGAAAACAGCTTCTACGCAGCTGCCTCTTGCCAACTTGAGTGATGACCTCCAGGAGCTGATCCTGCTCCTGATTGGAGGAGAGCAGCGTACTCGGTGTGTGGGTAGCAGAGTTGGGATTGGTGAAAGAGGACTATAAAGGAGGAGAGAGACAACATGCACCAGGAACACCTGAGGAACACCTGTGCAGCCCCCGAGAGAGCCGGCCGGCGGTGTGCCGCTCCCCCGCGGAAGTGGGGAATGTGGCAGGGGGAACCGCCCCTCCACGGAGGTGAAGGGACAGTAGCCAACCCGGGAAGAACCAGCAGCAAACCCGGGAAGGGCCGAGCAGACAGAAAGAACAACGCAGGGTTCAGTGTCGTTCCTCCATGAAGACGGGGAGCGACATAATGGTGCCGTGACTCGGATATGAAGCCTAGGCAGGGTTTAGTGTCGTTCCTCCATGAAGAGGGGGAGCGACAGGAGTGTTGGAGCTTTTCTTTTCTCTTTGTTCGTTCTAGAAGGTTATTGTGAACTGTATTTTTCCCACTATGCTGTGAAACAGGACCTTATTCATTCACTCTCACTCTGATTTGCTACCCATCATCCAAATTCCACTTATCCCCCCATTCCTCCCAGCATCTAGTAATCACCATTCTGTGTTCAGATTTAGTTTTTAACTCCCACATATGAGGGAGACTATACAGTATTTGTCTTTCTGTGTCTGGCTTATTTCACTTAAAATGATGTCCTCCAGTTCCATCCATTTTGCTGCAAATGACAGGATTTAATTCCTTTTTTGGCTGAATAATATTTCATTGTGCATATACATATTTACATGTATCACATTTTATTTGTCCATTCATCTGATAATGGACATCTTGTTTGATTCCATATCTTTGCTGTTGTGGACAGTTCTGCAGTAAACATGGTGGAGCAGGTATCTCTTTGATACAGTGATTTCATGTCTTTTGGGTATATACTCAGTAGAAGGATTGTTGGATCATAGGACAGTTCTATTTCTAATATTTAAGAAATCTCCATACTGTTTTCCATAGTGACTGTACTAATTTACATTCTTACCAATAGTGTTTAAGAGTTCCCCTTTCTCTACATACTCACCAGCATTTATTACTGTCTGTCTTTTTGATAATAGTCATGACAGGGGTGAGGTGATACCTCATTGTGGTTTTGATTTGCTTTTGCCTGATGGCTAATTGTGTTGATAATTTTTTCATATATTTGTTGGCCATCTGCATTTCTTCTTTTGAGAACTGTCTATTTAGGTCCTTTGCCCATTTCTTTATTGGATCGTTTGTTTTTTTGTTGTTGAGTTTTTTTGAGATCTTGACATATTTTTAGATATTAATCCTTTGCCAGATAAGTAGCTTGCACATATTTTCTCTCATTTTTTGGGTGTCTCTTCTCCCTCTTGTTTCCTTTATTGTGCAGAAGCTTCTGAGATTGATTAATTGCATTTGTCCAGTTTTGCTTTTGTTGCCTATGCTTTAGGGTTCTTATCCAAAAACCATTGCCTATGCCAATTTCTTAATGTGTTTCCTCTATGTTTTCTGCTAACAGTTGCAGTTTGAAGTCTTACATTTAGGTCTTTGATCCATATTGAGTTGATTTTTATATATGATCAGAAGTAGGTATCTAATTTAATTTTACTACATATGTAGATCCAGTTTTGCCAGCACCATTTATTGAAAAGACTATCCTTTCTCTAGGATCTCTTCTTTGCACCTTTGTCAAAAACCAGTTGACTGTATGTATGTGGGTTATTTTTCTGATTCTCTTTTCTGTCTCATTGGCTTTTATGCCAGGAGTATGCTGTTTTAATTACTATAGCTTTGTGTAGTATGTTTTAACATCAGGAATTGTGGTGCTTCTAACTTTATTTTTTAAAATCAGTTGACACAAAGTGCATAACTGCTTTGCATAGACTGTACTCTTGACTTCTCCACTACTGGGGTCTAGTCCTAAATTTTCCACTTGAAAGGCAGTGGTCCTTGAATCTGGTGTTAATGAACCTTTCTGAACTTGCCCTCTAATGTTGACCTCTACCAGTAATGAGAATGCTGGCAAGCTGTCTGTGGGAAGGCTGTCTTCTCTATTCTGTTGTAACCTTCCTGTTTATATTCTACCTAAGATTCAGAGCCATTCAGGTTTCTCTTGTCCACAAGGCCCTTCCTGACTTTTGCTTCTCATTTATTGTTTGTTTTTCCAACTTTTTGTCCATCCATTTATTTTGATACCTATTAATGTTCTATTGGACGCTATTGATATGTATGTGTTCGTGTTTGTCCTTTTGCCTCTAATTTTTTGAGCTAGTTGAGGAAAGATGTGTATTTTAAAAATATCTTTGTATATTTATTATAGAGCCAAGTTAGTAATTTTAAGATTCTCCTTAGATTTTTATGGTGTAGAATCTCTGACTTCCTCTTGAATTAACAGTGTTCTGATTTCTTTTAAACTGGATTTAAGTTTAGAACCTGTTATGTTCTAAGATGCTGACAGTGACTAAACTAGATCTAATCATAAGTACAGAATTCCATATCATTGGAATTTTTTAATTCCAATGTAGAATTCCAATGTAGGTAGAATGTGTCTTCTTTCTTATTTCCTTATGACTGATTGTTGATTTAGGAGCCTGGTACAACTTTTAATGTTATTGACTGTTTGACCAAAAAGAAAAAAATTAGGAAAAGTAGTCTTTTACTTTTTTGCTGTTGGATTTGGTTATCTTACCTCCTTTTATCCCCACCCCTTGTGCTCAAGTCTGTTCTTGACCCTTACTAGTTTTAAATGCTGTTGTACAGAATTCAACCAAAGCACCTCTCAAGAGATCAAATGTTGAGAAAGTGACCAACGTGCAGATCCTGGTATTGTTCGGAATCCTCTTGGTCATGGCGTTGGTGAGCTCAGTGGGGGCTCTGTACTGGAATGGGTCCCATGGTGGAAAAAACTGGTACATCAAGAAGATGGGTAAGTGTTGGGATGGATTGCTTGTTGAAGTCGAGCAAAACCATCCTGGAATGTCCTTCCAAGCACGGCAGATGTGTGACGGCCATGCTATTTTTTGTTCCCTTGGCTACTGTACCCAATGCTAGCCTTTCAAGAGGAGTTAACAGATTGGGAGTCATGTAATGAAGTGAAGATGGGCACATTCGAGGGATGTTTTATACTCAAATACTATTTTACTTATTTTGAAGATATTTTCTTAGTAGTTGTTTTAGGGATTACAAACTACATCTTGATTTTTTGGAATCTACTTCAGATTCATACTGGCTTAATTCCAGTAAAATATAAAAATTGCACTCCAGTGAACATACTCCATTTATTCCCTTGTTTGTGTTATTATTGTCCTATATATTATATGAGGGTACTTAAAAAGGTTCATGGAAAAATGAAATTGATAGCCACAAAATTGAAATCCATGCATTTCTTTCATAATACACACTTACCATGTTCTTAGAGAAGATCTCTCAAATGCATGCACTTAAGAAATTTTTGCACCAAAAGAAATGTTATCTTTTTCCATGAAATTTTTTTCTTTTTATTTATTTAAAAGGCAAAGAGAAAGAGGTGTGGGGAGAGAGAGAGGGAGGGGTGGGGGAGATATTGAGTGTCAGAGTCAGAGATATTCCATCCACTGTTTAAACCCCAAGTGCCTGTCACAGCTGGGACTGGGCCAGGCTGAAGCCAGGAGCCTGGAATTCAATCTAGGTCTCCCACATGTGTGGCAAGAATGAAACCATTTGAGCCATCACCGCTGTCTCCCATGGTATGCTTAAGCAAGAAGCTTTACAACATAAGACTGGAGTTGGGGGAGATAGAGGTGTTGCTGGTCTTCATGGTCAGCCCCTACCCTTGCTCAGCAAAAAACTTAATCATTGTGTATCCATGAATCTGTGGCTGGGGGTGGGGAAACAGCCTCTGTCTTAAATACCAAAGGCTTCTACTTTGTTTACTGAAATTCAGTAAATTTTCTTGAAATGCATTTGAACTTTTGTACTCTCTGTGAACCATTTCTAAAAACTTAAAGTGTTTGCTTTCTGTGAGTTTGTCCAATTTTATTGCAGTATTTTTTGGGAGGTGGGAACATGGTGATCTCTTTACACAGCAATTCCAGAAAATAAATAGAATTTTATGACAAAAATATTGAATGAATCTGAATTCTAAAATTGGTATTGGTTTAGGATTATTCACATCTTTCAATATATTGAAATTAATTGCTTCATGAGAGGGATTTGTGAGATGTGCTAAATGGATTAACAGGTGATTTCATCAATGTGTGAACCTCATAGAGTGCGCTTCATGAACCAAGATGCCATGGCATCACTACAAAATATAATATTATGAGACCACTGTCATGGATGTGAACCACCCTTGACCAAAATGCCCTTACATGGTGCAATACTGTTAAACTGAAAACCATTTATTTAATGTTCTAATTATTTCAAATAGAAAACTGCAGACAGATCTGAGTGCTCAGGTGAGCACGTAACAATGTGGGGAATGTGACTGGAACTTCAGGTGTTGGTTGGATCAAAAGCTCTGGGTTTTGGTTCTTACACTTTGGATTTGGGATCATGTTGCATGTCCAGTTGGACACAGATACTTTGTGTGCATACATAATTAATTCCAGAATGTCACAGGTTAGGTAAATATATAGCGCTGACACCAACTCAGTGTAGGGGAGGCTTTGTGGAAGCAGATGCCTTCTAAAGTGCTCAGGTGATGCCAAACTCCAGTGCTAGCTGCACAGTTTACCGAGGAGGAATGGCCTTTGTGTGCCATGCGTAGTCTCTCCGTCCTTATGGTGTAGTTGGGGTAGCTCTGGTTGTGGCCCTCTGAGTTCACCTTTGCATTTCACTTTTGGAGCCCTCTCAGTTCCTCTCAGATTCGGCCCTTGCTCCCTTCCTCGTCATTATTATTGCTTGGCTGATCCTTTTTACATGGGGCTAAGATTCTCTTTTCTTTCTTTATGGGCCTCTCTCATCTCCTGGTTTGGATCAGAAGTTTCCAGTGTTTCTTTAGCCTTGGTTTTGGGTTTTCCCTGAATGTGCCCTACTTTTTGACATTATATTGACTGATATGAAGCTACTGTGGCCTGTGTTCAAAATTACAAAGTTTTAACCTCTTAATATAAGATTTTAATTCACAGACAGATCTTCTTTTAAACAGATGTACCTCAGGAACATTTGTAGTTGTTGGGATAATGATCCTATTTAGAAACTCCTTGATTCTTCAGAAGAGCAAGATAGCAAAAGCTTACATTAGGAAGAAAAGACAGCAGCAGGAAACTTGGAAGCTGTAGTGTAATGAGTAAAAACATGGAAGAATGGAGGAAAGTGAAACTTCTGGCCGGCTTGCACCTGCTTGCCTTCTTACTTCTCAGCAACCTGTCTTTCCATCACTACCATTCTCCAGAACTCCAAATCTGAACCAGACTGCATCATGTGACCCCATAGCCTTGGGGAAGGCTTCCAACTACAAATCCCCAGTCTCCAGTCCTATGCTTTCGTGGTCTTCAGTCTATCCTTGATACTAGTCAATCCCTTGGCCTGCTATGGCCTCCCCCTGCCTCTTGCCAAGGTAAGAAGATAACCTTTTTCCTGATGTCAATATATCCTGGCTATCAAGGCAAGACCCTCTTCTCTGATGTACCCTCTCCCTCTTTGCCTCTCCTGGCTTCTCTTCCTGTCCAGGCTGATCCTGCCCCTACTTTGGACTTCAGTGCTTGGGCTCTTGTTCCATCAAGACTTTCCTTTTTGTTGCTGTCTGTAGTAAGTCAGCCCAGGCCTTCTTGTGTGCCTCTCCCTCATCGCCTGCTTCCCTTGCTCAGACTTCATTACATCTTGCCAGCCTTTTGGAGTGCCCAAGACACTCGTACCTGAGTTGTAGGTGTTCTTTACAACCATTTAAAAATTTACTTATTTATTGTTTTTATGATTGATTTTGTTTAAGGAATAAAACTTCATGCATTTAATATATAAAGCTTTGGGAACATGATGCTTCTTCCCCCCACCTCCCTCCCATGCATACTCCTACCCTTCTTCCTCCTCCCTCTTTAAAGGCCTGTCCTCTTCTCTGTATTCTTGTGTGTTGCCTGTGTTTTCTCTGTTCATCAAATCTGACTCAAACGTCTGTTTTTCTGGATGATCTCTAGTGACCTTGCTTTTCTATTAAAAAAAAAACAAACCAACTCTCCTCACTTGGTTCATGCAGTGCCCTAAAAACTCCACTTCAGTGGCTGTGTGCTGCTGTGTGATCACATCTGGGCACGTGGCTGCCTCTGCCCTGTCTCCTTGCCTAATGTTTGAGGAGCAGCCAGCTGTTTGTTAGCAGGGACCTTTGTATTCACAGTTACTCACACGTAGCAGGTGCTCTACAACAACTCTTTTACCTCAGATGTCTTTTAGTTCATTTAATTTGAATATTGTTGTGAAGATATTTTAGAAAATTTCCAAAATAAGCAAGTAGAAGAGCTGAGTGGGGACTGTAACTGAAGCTGTAGGCCTCCTGGTTTTCTTCCACAGACGCGAGTTCGGACAACTTTGGATACAATCTGTTGACGTTCATCATTTTGTACAACAACCTCATTCCCATCAGTCTGTTGGTGACCCTTGAGGTTGTGAAATACACACAAGCCCTCTTTATAAATTGGGTGAGTAGTTCTAAAGTTGGGATTAAAAGTTGAGTGCCTGGGAAATGTGGACCCCTGTTTTCTCATCAGGGTTTTGTCATTGAATTGGGCTTTCAGGAGAGCACTGGTGGAGGTCATTTGTGTTTGGGTCCTGGGTTAAGCTGGCCAGAGAGCTGAGAAAGGATGTCGATGAGTGTGTCTCTGAGAAGTGGGGAGGATAATGTACCTATTCAAGGGTTGGTGTGAAGATTGAGATGATGGAGGTAGAATGCTTAGCAGGTACTTGTCTTCTGGTTGTAATTGCTGCTGATGCATTTTAAGTTTTGTCAATGCTGAACAAAATGCCTCTTGGCTGTTCATTGTAGCATTCATGAAATATCAAAGTTCACCATGACAGTAAACTTGGATTCAGTTGTGCAGCAAGGGTTGCAGTTCTAAGGAACTGCTATGGCCTTTAGCATGGTCTTCAGCAACCAGTATTTGCAGAGAACGTGCTTTTATATGCATTTTTGTTCAATCTTCACAGCAATCCTCTGAACAGGTTACTAACCAGGCTGAGTCATGAGTTACTTCACATCTTGATCCCAATAGCTGCTGTATTGTCACTCCAAATTTAAAGATTAGCTTTACATTAAAATTAGTCTTAAGCTACCTCTTCGGTATTAATTGGAGTGGATGGCTGGTACATGTGTTTTCTAAACTTCTTACTCTCTCTGTCCATCCCAGGACACAGATATGTATTATCTAGGAAATGACACTCCTGCAATGGCCAGGACCTCAAACCTTAATGAAGAGCTTGGGCAGGTGAGATCCTCTTCGGGAACTTTGGTAATTTGACACTGGCATGAAGGGAGATGAGTGCCAGCAGAAAAACCATAGGGGATTTGGCAAAAATAGTTCTCCATGAATGTGGTTATGGGGTCTGATTTGTTTATCTGGGGCAAATGACAGGGAAAACAATGGTTGTGGTATACAGATGTTGAGTAACCCCACAAAACATGTGGGGGCTAGTCTGAAGGACCAGTGTCTCTCACATGTTCCAGATTTTCTTTCTGGAATATTCCAGGGACCTGGAATATTCTTTTCACTTTCACCCTCACAACTCCACTTCACTGAGTTATACTTTGCATTATGTCTTCATCTTACATTGAAATTACTACAAGGAACAGCATATTCTAAATGTGTTATAATTAAAGATTGTGACTTCTTCGTTGTTGTTAAAGATTTATTCATTTAGTTGAAAGTCAGAGTTACAGAGAGAGGGAGGGCAGTGAGAGAGAGAGAGAGAGAGAGAGAGAGAGAGAGTGATTTTCCATCAGCTGCTTCACTCACTAGTGGTCCTAATGCCCAGTGCTGGGTCAAGCTGCAAGCAGGAGCTAGGAGCTTCATCTGGGTGCCCTATGTGAGTGGAAGGGGCCCAAGTGCTTGGGGCATCTTCCACTGCTTTCCAGGCCATTAGCAGAGGGCTGGATTGCAAGTGGAGCAGCCAAGAAGACACAGGCCAGTGCTGTTATGGGATGCTGGTTTCACAGGTGGTGGCTTTACCTGCTATGGCACAACACTGGCCCCTATTGACTGGATTTCTTTCTTTTGTTTTTTAAGATTTGTTTATTTTATTTGAAAGAATCAGAAAGAGACAGAGACAGACAGGGAGACAGACAGACTGACCTTCCATCTACTGTTCACTCTCCAAATGGTCACAATGGTCAGGGCTTGGCCAGGGGCTTCATCCAGGTCTCCCACAGAGGTGGCAGGAACCAGTCACTTGAGCCATCCCCTCTGCTTCCCATAATCTGCGTTAGCAGGAAGCTGGGGTCAGGAGCCATAGCTTGGAATTGAACCCAGGCACTCTGATGGGTGTCTTAACCTCTAGGCAAAATGCCTGCATTGGAGGTCAAGACTTGAAAAGAACGCACATTGTATGAGACCAGGCAGTATCGTGAGTAATGTTGAGTAGCATTGAGATGTCTCATGACAGAACTTATTACTCAGAACTTACAGACTCGATATGAGGGCCATGACTGAAGCTTCCTTTGCATATGTCTGTGCAATTGGACTAAGAATTAGTTATGGAAATAGATTGGTAAGTGGTCTCAGCCTCAGGTACATTTTTTGTCATTGATGTGCTTGCTTTAAAGCAATCTATTTGTTCAAATTTAATACAGATTTGGCCGGCGCCGCAGCTCACTAGGCTAATCCTCTGCCTTGCGGCGCCGGCACACCGGGTTCTAGTCCCGGTCGGGGTGCCGGATTCTGTCCCGGTTGCCCCTCTTCCAGGCCAGCTCTCTGCTGTGGCCAGGGAGTGCAGTGGAGGATGGCCCAAGTGCTTGGGCCCTGCACCCCATGGGAGACCAGGAGAAGTACCTGGCTCCTGCCATCAGATCAGCGCAGTGCGCTGGCTGCAGCGCGCCGGCCGCGGCGGCCATTGGAGGGTGAACCAACGGCAAAAGGAAGACCTTTCTCTCTGTCTCTCTCTCTCACTGTCCGTCCACTCTGCCTGTCAAAAAAAAAAAAAAAAACAAGCAACAAAGAGAAATTTAATACAGATTTTGAAAAAGACAGAAGGAAATACTTCATTTAATTGGTCTTTGCATCTTACTACATTCTGATGTATACTCATTTTCTTCCTTGATTTAGGTAAAATACCTATTTTCTGACAAGACTGGAACTCTTACATGCAATATCATGAACTTCAAGAAGTGCAGCATTGCTGGAGTAACCTATGGGTGAGTGTATGTATTATTTGCTGAAAGTCCCACCTGTCTTCTTCTAATCAGATAGTTTATTTTTAACTAGTCCGATATCTTCCATAGGTAGTCACTGCTGAATATGTTTAAAATTTAACAGATCCTAAAGGAAACTTTACAAACAGTGAAAACTTGTTTGTTTCTGCCAGTATTGACCTGGAGATCCCAGGCTGCCTGTCATTATGTCTCTTGCTGGTGTTTGATTGCACTCTGCGACCTCTCTGTTCTCTCCGCAGTCATTTCCCGGAGCTGGCGAGAGAGCCGTCCTCTGATGACTTCTGGTAAGAAACTTCTGGTGCTTCTTGATGCATTAGCGGAAAGGACTTCAGAATAATTTCCTGGAGACATTTCTCACCTAAATGTTTTTTATATAAATTAAAGTTGCATATGTATTATTTTGAAAGAGAATCAGGATAAGATTTGAACACAAACGTGCTTTGGAAAGACTGTGCTTCAACGCTTTTAGCAGCAGTCACCTGCGCTGGGTTCCATGCTTCCATTTTTCTGAAGCAGCCACCGTAGACTTTGTGACTTATATTTTTATCCCTGTGTTTCACATAGTATGTCAAGGCTGATTTTAAAAATTGTAGACATTGTTAAATTTCCTGCTGTGGTGGAGGAAAATCTCACCTTTTGTGAAATTTTTTTTAACCTTTATTTTATTTATTTGAAAGAAAGAGTTAGAGAGAGAGGTAAAGACAGAGAGAGAGGTCTTCCATCTGCTGGTTTGCTCCCTAGATGGCTGCAATGGCCGGAGCTGAGCTGATCTGAAGCCAGGAGCCAGGAGTTTCTTCTGGGTCTCCCATGCATGTACAGCGGCCCAAGGACTTGGGCCATCTTCCACTGCTTTCCCAGGCCATAGCAGAGAGCTGGATTGGAAGAGGAGCAGCCAAGACTAGAACCAGCGCCCATAAGGGATGCTGGAGGATTAATCTACTGTGCCACAGTGCCAACTCCAGCCCTTCACATTTAATTCAGTGTGGTAGCATGCAGCCAGCATATAAAGTTGCCTTCTCTATAATTATATTTTTAAACCATTTATTTATGAGGGAGATATAGATATAGAGATAGATAGATAGATAGATAGTTTGAGCACTCCCATCTGCTGATTCATTCCCCAAGTACCCACAACAGCACGGCTGGCATGGAGTCAGAGGCAAGACCCAGGAACTCAGTCCGGGTCTCCCATGCGGTTGGCAGGGCGGACTACCTGAGCCCTCACTGCTGTCCTCCAGGGTGTGCACTGGCAGGGAGCTGGAGTCAGGAACCAGAGGCAGAGCAAACCCAGGCACTCTGAAGTGGGATGCAGGTGTCCTAACTGCTGGACCAAACACCCACTCCCTTTCTTGTAATTTTTTGCTGCTTTCTCTCTCTCCTATATGATGTCCAGCTACAAATGAGTGCACAGATAAAATGCAGTGATCCTTCTTACTTTACTGACTTTGAGCAGACAGTATTGGAAGTTTTCCTTGGTAGAAGTTACACAAGGACCAAACAAAATGACAAAGTCATGATATTGATCTTTGGCCTTTGTTGCTTCTCCTTGTAATTATGTTGTTACTTGTTATCACTTACAAAACATTGATTTATAATAGGGTTAAGGATTTGCATTTTAAACTTGAAATAATATAGATTATCCTACATCTTTAATTTTAAATATAGGGATAGGTGTTTTGCCCTTAGCAGTTAAGCCACTGGTTAGGACACTTGCATTTCCACCTTGAGTACCTGGGTTCAATTCCTGGTTCCGGCTTCTGACTTCAGCTTCCTGCTAATACAGACCCTGGGAGGCAGCAGGGATGGCTCATGTAGCTGGGCTCCCGCCGCGCTGCTTGTGTAGAAGACCAGGATACAGCTCTTGGCTCAAAGCTCTGATCTCCCCTAGTTGTTGTGAGCATTTGCAGAGTGAGCCAGCAGACAGGAGCTCATTCTTTCTCTGTCTCTCAAATACATAATAACTAAAAAATAAGAATAATATAGTTTAGTAGGCCTTTTAGGTATGATTCTTCTTGAAGCAGATTTTTTTTTTTTTTATTTTTGATAGGCAGAGTGGACAGAGAGAGAGACAGAGAGAGAAAGGTCTTCCTTTGCCGTTGGTTCACCCTCCAATGGCCGCCGCTGCAGCCGGCGCACCGCGCTGATCCGATGGCAGGAGCCAGGATCCAGGTGCTTTTTCCTGGTCTCCCATGGGGTGCAGGGCCCAAGCACCTGGGCCATCCTCCACTGCACTCCCTGGCCATAGCAGAGGGCTGGCCTGGAAGAGGGGCAACCGGGACAGAATCCGGCGCCCCGACCGGGACTAGAACCCGGTGTGCCGGCGCCGCAAGGTGGAGGATTAGCCTATTGAGCCACGGCGCCGGCTTTTGAAGCAGATTTTCACCAGGTCTATAAGATAGGAACTTTTAACCATGTAAGTATTCTATATTCTATTTTTCAGTCGTATACCACCTGCCCCTAGTGATTCCTGTGACTTTAATGACCCCCGGCTGTTGAAGAACATTGAAGATCACCACGTGAGTCCAGAATTTTCTTCTAAGACATCGGATAGCTGCGGGTGCACTTTTCCCTGCTTTTTGTTTGTTTTTAATTAACACAGACTACTTTTACAAATGTAAGGGACAGTGTTCTGCTTTGATACATGCACACATTGGGTTTAGGATCAGATCAGGATAATCAGCATTTGTCCAGTCTGTTAGATCTTTCCAAACCTCGCTCAGTGAAGACTCTCACAGGTGCTCTCTGCAAAGTGCCTTGTGTGGTGAGTGCTGGGCTGCATCCCTCTCGTGCTCTTCCCAAGCCTGTTCTCTGCGCGTGTTTCTGTGGGGGCTGAGCAGGGTTGAGGTGCTCTCCCCTAAACACCACTTCTTCTTGCTGTCGCCTCTGTGGCCACAGGGAAGGGCAGGCATTTTAGGAAGAACCCCCCTGGTTATAGAAGTAGGGATCCACCCTCTTCCTTCTTGCACTCCTCCCTTTCCACCCTCCTGAGCCAAATTTCCTTTTATGTTAGTGGAAAGGCCAGTGGGCAGAGGGGCGCATGTGGCCCATGTGTCCCTGACCTGGGGATATTCTCATGAGCATCAAGACATAGGGGAACTTTATCCATCTGCATGCACCCAAAGTGTAACAGGGCTGTGAAAGTTCATTTTCTATTTTTAAGTAAAAGCCTATTGGCCTGTGTGTGGTATTTTTTAAAATTTCTTGTATCCTTGAAGCTTTCTGAGGTCATTTTTTTAAAGTTTATTTATTTATTTGAAAGGCAGAGTTACAGAGAGGCAGAGAGAGAGAGAGAGAGAGAGTCTTCCATCTGCTGGTTCACTCCCCAAAATAGCCACAATGGCTGGAGCTGGGCCAAGGAGCCAGGAGCCAGAAGCTTCTTCCATGGCTCCCATGTGGGTTCAGGGGCCCAAGGACTTGGACCATCTTCTGTTGCTTTTCCAGGCCATAGCAGAGAGCTGGATCAGAACTGGAGCAGCCAGGAATCGAACCTGGTGCCCATATGGGATGCAACACTGCAGGTGGTGGCTTTACTCACTCCACCACAGTTCCAGCCCCACTGAGGTCATCTTGATCCAGGCTACTTCGTTAACTAAGCCCTTTAATAATTCACAACCAAGTCCACTATAGATGGTAGGGCAGGGGTTCTAACCATTTGGTTTGTGAAGATGTGGGGTTGGATGAAATGTACTCAGTGTATGTAAGCTGTGAAGTATAGGCCCTATTAGATCACTTGTTCATTTTGTTAAAATATGGTGGGGTAGAGGGAAGGTTTGTTTGAGGGTTTTAGGCTGTGGCTATATTCATGTCTAAATTATCTTGGGACCATTGACTAAAATTAAAGCATTTGACCCAAGAAAGCATTTGCTTTCCTCCCAAAGGAGTGCATCCATCTGCTACAGAATTTTCTTTTTTCCTGGGTCATCATTGCTGTCTCTCTAGTCCTTTAGAACTGCTTTAGCTTTTTGTGGGCTGATAGCCAGGATGGAATTTGGCTCTTAGTCAAAGAATCAACCTATGGAAAATTTCAAAGGACAGTTCATGCAATCCCTTGATTACATTGCTAAGCAGTGACTTTGTGGGATAAATTCCCAAAGATTTGCCAAGGAGTAAGAGGTAACTTTCTTTCAAATCATTATGCCTTGGAATTTTGAGCTTGAGTCTTCCAGAAAAATTCATATGTCTGTGTCTATGTATATGTCTGTGTGTATTATACAGATATCATAGAGACAGAAAACAGAATAGAAGTAACTAAGGGGTACGGCAAGGAGAGTTCATGTTTAACAGAATTTGGGGATGATGAAAAGTTTTGGATTTAGTTAGTGGTGATGGGTGTACAGCATTGTGAGTGTATTTTATACCACTGAATAGAACACTTAACAAATGCATAAGATGAAAAATATTACATATGTATTTTATCATAATTAAAATCTTAGAAAAAGAAATATGTACACACATTCTGTAGCTACAAATATATACACCCATACATAGAAACATCTAATCCTTAGGCTTCAGATTAATTTTATCTCTCCCCTGATTTATTATAGAATACTAAGTTAGGTAGATGGCCAAAGGCAGAGTAATTTTGTTTTAGTCATTTTTTTTTCAAATCTTCATTATTTTTGTCTGGCCTGCCATTCAAGTTAGTAACTCAGAAGCTAAGATTTCTATTCAAGTCTCCCATGTGGGTGATAGGGACCCAAGTAATTGGGCCATCATCCGCTGTCTTCCCAGGTGTTGGGAAGCTAGATGGAAGCAGAGCAAGGAATGGCTTAACCTGTTGCTTCACGAAACCTACCCGCATATCATGCTTGAAGTGGCAGCCCGTGCAGACAGGTGCAGCTGAGCAAGTGTATCCACCATAAGGAAGGATGTAGTTTTTGGCCTTGAAAACCCAGAAGAGTCAGTTGAAACTCTGAGAGCTATTAAGAGCAATGTTTTTACTTTCATTCCAACAATAAACCATTAAAATACAATGGAAGTCAAATTGCATTCATTATATTAAAAGCAAAAATAAAATGCCTCATATGGTTATTAAAAAATTCTTTAGGGGCAGGAATTTGGTGAAGTGGTTAGATTCTTGGCAGATTCTCTCTCTCTCCCCCTTCAATCTTCCTTTCTAAAAATAAAAATAAATTTAAAAATACATTTTTTAAAAAAGGAAAATTTATCTGAGCAATTAAACTTAGTAGGCTGTCCGAGAAAAAGCAAACAAACCAAGCAAAGCAAGAAAACCATTTGAGAATCAGGCAGCCCCCAAACCAGAGCAGGGTCTAAGAACTCCAGCTAACAACAGAGCTGGCCATCCTTTCCAGAGAAGTGTAGGCAGGACACATTAAAGACTAACTGGCTACATGTTCGTTAATCGACAGCCAATCAACTACAGCTGAACTAGTTGATTGGTTACAGCTTGAGTCGTTAGTTGGCCACAGCACATCCTGTGCTCAATCAGAGCTCAGTTACTCAACTCTGCTTTGGTTTGTTCTGTCAGTGTTGTATGCAGGATCCTGGTCCAGAGCCATGGACTCCCACAAATTTTGTTGAACACAATGTTTCGCATGCATAAGTCACTCAAGTATTTTTAAGCAAATACAAAACTTAGTAAGGTGGATGCCAGGTCCTGTGTTTAGAAGCCTTTAGTGAATGGTGAGATGTTATACTCTTAGATGGGAAAATAGTATTGAGGGGTCATTTCCCCACTAACTGTAAATGTGGTCTGATCTCAATTAAAATTATGGAATTTTTTTTCAGGGGAGATGGGAGAAATTGATTAAAACATATTTAGGGCAACTTGGGTTTTTGCTGGTTTTTAATAGTAAGGGGTGAGGGATACCCACTGCTTCACACATATGCAGAGATTATAAAGTTAAAGATCAGACATGGTATGGAATAAACACCATACTGTAGCCAGAAAGACTAGGCCCGCATGGGACTGTCTGGTTAATGATGGGGGCAGCACCTTCTCTTTGCTGGGATGGGGGTGCACCCATGAGCCAGGACCCGTGAGCTCACCCACCTGGATCTAGAGTGGGGAGGAAGCCCTTGAGAGTTTGGGAAGCAAGGCCTCTTCCTGGGTGTTCCCTGACTGCATGGACCAGTGTGCAGGAGCCACATTCCAAGAGAAGCTGGATGATGGGCTTCTCGGGTGAAGCAGCTGTGGCCCTGAAGACCAGGGGATGAGTGAGGAGGCAGAGGACCTGCTGTGAGCAGGTCAGGGTTGCGGTGGGGGGGCACTGGGAAGGATGTGCCTTGTTTGAGGAACTGAAGAAAAACCAAAGAGGTGGGATAGGTGGGGGTCAGGTGGAGTCCAACTGTTGGAACGGCAAGAGGAGCCCATCAGTGGATTAGAAGTAACTGATTGCAGGCACTTTAGTGCTGGTGCAGTCACAGGATTGTAACTGAAAGGCTAACTCGGTCTCCTGTTTGCAGCCCACAGCCCCTTGCATTCAAGAGTTCCTCACCCTGCTGGCGGTGTGCCACACTGTGGTCCCCGAGAAGGATGGCGATAACATCATCTACCAGGCCTCTTCCCCAGGTGAGGGCTCTCGCCAGGTGTACACTGCTGGCCCCTTCCTTGGAGACTCCGGTGTCTGCAGATATGGGTGGGAGAAGGGGTGGTGCGGGCTGCCTTGTGGGAGCCCCTGTCTCTTCCTCTGGCTTCACACCATTTGCAGGTTGCAGCGACAGATGCTAAAGCCATAGGCAGCAGGTGTTGGGCCCCTCTGACTTCTCAGGTAGCATTGCAATGCCTGCAGAAGCTACGGTGCTATCCAGAGCTCCCAGCATTGGTGTCTGCTCACTCTCATGCCTCCTGGATTTTCCAACTGCTGGGCGACTGTGTCTGGGAGCAGGGTCTCTATCTACTCACTCCCTGGTGCTGTGAAGCCCCCAGTCCTGTGACTAAGACCTGGCCTTGCCCCTGGGGACATTAGAAAGGTTAATCAGAGAGAAGTTGATCCTAAGTGAGAGCAGTGGGAGTGTGAATTGTTGCTGTCCCGGTGAGTCACCTTGAGCCCTGGGTCCTCCGGCCCAGGAGACACGCTCGTCTCAGGCCCTTGGAGATAGAAAGAGCGAGTGCTGTGTACCCCACGTGTGTACCCCACTCCTGTGTCGTGATGCCAGGCCTCTCGCAGTGCAGTGGCTGAGTCAGCGTTTCCCCGCCTCCTTGTTGACAGATGAAGCTGCGCTGGTGAAGGGAGCCAGGAAGCTGGGCTTCGTCTTCACGGCCAGGACGCCCTACTCCGTCATCATCGAGGCGGTAAGGGACGCGCCCCCTGCACCCCGGTCACGTGTGTGAACCAGCACGTGTGTGAACCACCACGGCTGCCAGCGTGGTCGCCGAGCTTCAGTTTTTCTTTTTGTGGAAAAACAGACCCGTTGGAAGGCCCATGTAAGAAGGATCCTCTTAGCTCACACCTGCTCTTTCACATGGTAGTGGTGGTTCCCTCTGCCAGTGGCTTTCCCACAGGCCTTCCGTATGCTGATGGCAAATCCTTGGTAGCAAAGAGCTTTGTAGGCCTTCTCTTTGCTCTATGGAAGTTGGGAAAGCAGCCTCATAGCCCTCTCATCTCTGAGGGGAAGGTCTGCATCGCTCTGTGGCCTCTGTAGCTGCCCCTTCTTGCACAGGGAGCCCTCACGGCCTGCTGGACTTCAGTCTTGTTAGCTGGGAGAGAGGAGTTACAGCTTCAACTCTCTTCTTTCTGTCTTAGGGTCACCCTCCTCACCCTGAAGTCAAGGGGTTACATGTTTTCTGATGCTTCTTTGAGTTTCTTTCCCACTGGCCAGAAGGGTGAATTTAGTGATAGGGAAATGCTTACATAGGTTGAACACCTCTCACTTGCGGTGCCTGGGACTAGAAGTGTCTCAGGTCTTGGATTTTTGTGGATGTTGAAATACTTGCATCTACATAATGAGGTATCTTCAGAATGAGACCAAAATCTAAACATGCGATTCATCTGTTTCACATGTACCTTTTATATACATAGACTGAAGGTCATTTTATATACTATTTTTAGTGCACCTGTGTTGTGACTGCAACTTGTCATATGAAGTCAGGCATAGAATTCCACTTGTGGCATCAGCTTGGTGCTAAAAAGTTTTGGATTTAGGGACATTACAGATTAGGGATGCTCAGCCTATACACAGGGATTCCTGAGTTGAGGAACAGGGGGAAGTGGTTGTTAGGACTGGCAAGACACTGCTGTTGTGCAGTCAGTCACTACCATGTAGAAGACTGCATTTTACTGTCTGAATTGATATGGAACTGAAGGTGGTCACTGCCTCCCATGACCCCTGCCTTTCCCCAGCCCTTAACTTGGGGAAAGCTGTATGGGTCCTTGAATCCCCAGCATGCTTTAATACATTTGAAGTTCACTTACAAAGACTGTAATAACTTGATAGTATTCCTGTCAGCTTTTACTTTTCCTTATGTGCAAAACCTGTAAAATACCATACCTTATACAAAGTGCCCATTTCTTGACATTTTCAGTTTCTTTTCTTCTGGAGTACAGAGATAAGATCCTGTTTTTTTTTGTTGTTGTTGTTTTGATTTTTTTTTTTTTTTTTTTTTTTGCTTTACTCCAGCCAACAGAGGAAATTTAGCTTAGGGAAACGTGCAGTCATGACAAGCTGAACAAAGTGCTGATTGAGTCTAGAAATTTCCTTCACAGGAGCTTCAGAAAAACGAGGTCGTCTTTTCCTTCAGTCGGAGGAAACTTTTAACCTTAGCGGTGGGATTTCCAGTGCTCGGTGCTGCTGTGTTCCATTCCTCTGCAGTGACACCCAAGGCTCGGGTTCAGGGAGCAGGGTGTGGAGTGGCTGGCACCGGCCGGTGGCAGGAGAGAACAGCCACTTCTGCACTGCTCACAATGCCAGGTCAATGCTTGGAGTTAGCAAGCCATTTGGTGTTGTCCTCACAGTGTCAGAGGCCAGCAGTCATGTTTCAGGGAGTAAGGGAAGATCACACTGTAGTTAGCACTTGTAAGTAATCATCATTTTAACATTCCTCTTCAACCAGTAATACTGGGATATCTATCATCAAACCACAGATTCTCAAATTGGCCACCAGGTGTTTACGTGGAGTGTCCTTGCTGCTCCTCTGACAGCTGAGTGCACCAGTCACCAGTGGAAGTGGCTCGTGTAGCAGCAGTGCTGAGGGGAGGTGGCACCTGGCAGGTAGGGCAGTGGTGCTAGGGGCCTCACCAGTAGGGGCCTCACCAGTAGGGGCCTCACCAGTGGGGGCCTTCCTGAACAGGTTGCTGGGACACAGGAGGAAGAGCTGTTGAGTTCAGACTGAGGCAGGCCCAGGCAGGTGGATCATTAGTTGGGTTTTAGGAGGCAAAGAGGGCAGTGGCAAGTTGTGGGTGGGAAGATGATAATTATTCACTCAGGAACTCGGTAATTTGATTAGGTTTAATTACTTTTCTGAAACCTAAGGTCTTGTCATTCGGAAACTGGACCCAAACTCCTATCTGTTGGGCTCTGAAAACTGTGTTTTCTTTTTAAAGATTTATTTTATTTATTTGAAAGAGTTACAGTGAGAGGTAGAGACACAGAGAGAGGTCTTTCATCCGCTGGTTCACTCCTCAGATAGCCGTAACTGAAACCATGAGCTTCTTCCGGGTCTCCCACGTGGGTGCAGGGGCCCAAGGACTTGGGCCATCTTCTACTGCTTTCCCAGGCCATAGCAGAGAGCTGGATTGGAAGAGGAGCAGCCGGGACTAGAACTGGTGCCCATATGGGATGCCGGTGTTTCAGGCCAGGCCTTTAACCTGCTGCGCCAGTTTTCTACACTGTGATATATTGGGGAAATAGAGTACAGATTAGATTTTTAAAAAAGATTTATTTATTTATTTGAAAGTCAGAGTTACACAGGGAGAGGAGAGGCAGAGAGAGAGAGAGAAAGAGAGAGAGAGAGAGGTCGGTCTTCCATCCACTGGTTCACTCCCCAATTGGCTGCAATGGCTGGAGCTGCGCTGAACCGAAGCCAGGAGCCAGGAGCTTCCTCCAGGTTTCCCACGCGGGTGCAGGGGCCCAAAGACTTAGGCCATCTTGTACTGCTTTCCCAGGCCATAGCAGAGAGCTGGATTGGAAGTGGAGCAGCTGGGTCTCGAACTGGAGCCCATATCAGATGCTGGCGCTTCAGGCTAGGGCGTTAACCCGCTGCCCCACAGTGCTGGCCCCTGCAGATTAGATTAAAACATTAGAAAAGGCAAGCACACAATCTGGAATTTTTGATATTAAAAAAACATGGTGAACATTGACCTTATAATTTGAAAGAACCCAGATAAAAAGGACATTTGATTGCCTGTCCTAAAACCAGTAGAGATTCATAATCATCCCATATCTGCAAATCCAAAGGCCGTGGAGTCCCTAAAGTCTTTTCTTGTGTTTGGCAGCAAATGACATTCACAGTGTGAGATTCCCATATTTTGCTGCACAAAATGGAAACGTTGCAACACAGTGTGTTAGACTGGACTGTGCTGGGGACATAATGATGTGTAATCTGTGCATGTACTGTTCTGAAATGTCATATTCTGAACTCAGAAGCACAGATGGCTCCAGGGTTTCTGATGGACCTGTATAGCTTGCGTCTGTACCAACTGCTAGGACACCAGGTACCTGAAGGAAAATGAGATACTTCTACCAGAAGAGGGAGCTCTGACCCTACCAAATTGGGCAGAACAGTCCATGTTGAAAGCATATGAAAAGCACGGTGTGTGTGTGTGTGATGTACATGTTGATGATCCTGACACAGTTGCTTTGAGATTTTCATACTTTGGACCTCAGGTGAGAACCTTTTTTTTTTTTTTTCCCTTTAGATGGGACAAGAGCAGACATTTGGAATCCTTAATGTTCTGGAATTTTCTAGGTATGTTTCTCTTTTCTACCCTTGAAACAAAATACTTCAGTATATTTAACAGCTTCATCAGAGTGCATGAGTGTGTGGTATGATTAGATACAGTCAGTCCTTCAGTATTAAACACGGGAAATAGATCTGCACAGACCCTCTTCTTGGAATTTGTGGCTCTCATTAGAGATGGTGAAGTAGGTTGGTTTTCTTTTTTTTTTGTTTCCAAAAGAAATGTTATACGTCCATGTCCTCCTCTTTCTTAAGCTCTGCAGAGCCTGGTGTTCTTGCGTCAGCAGCTGCAGATGTGTGTCTGCGTAGTTTGGAGTATGTGATGAGGGCACTGTTTTCATTGGCGTTTTCCAAGTCCTGTGAGGTCACGCCTCTTGCACCATCCGACACTCCCCTGGAGCTGTCAGAAACCGACAGATGATGTCAGAGTCCCTCAGTTTGTCCCACCAGAGGCCTGGGCTACGCCGGGCAGTTGTTTTGGACTTATTTGGACTCATTCTTACCCTGTGCAGTTTTTTTAATGTAAGACCCGGAATGTTTGCTGGATTCTTTGTTCCCCCATATCAGTACCATTCAGAGTGTATTACAAGGAAACATTTTAATGTTTTATTTCCTTCCCTCTTTATAATGTTAAACTATCAATACTGGAGCAAGAATACAAAAGTATTCTTTCTTGTTGTTGAAAGTGGATTTTCAATGACTTTTGTGAAATGATTCACAAATTGTTTGCTCTGTCTGCCTTATAAGCTGTTTGATGAAAGTCAGATTTGTATCCTTTTGTAGGAAATAGTTTCCAGCCCTAGTCTGGTGTGTGAGGACTGCAAACTTGATTTTGTTGGGTTGGATGCCCCTGGGATTAAGTCTTAGGTGGGAGAGATGGGGGATTGTTGGGGACAGTAGCACTTACAGGGTAGGAGACAGTGTTCCTGTGGGTCTTGGACAGGGACGCTTTGGACATATTTCTGAACCTTTTTTATGCCCCCTTAGAAACTGCTTTGGGGTTGAATTAACTAAGATCAGCAGTTAATGGACATACAAGGGAGAGAAAAGAATTACATAAAAACAGGTGACAATGGGTGAAGACATAAGGATTTATTTTTAAGTTACAAGAGAAGAAGAGTAGACAGATAATTTGTGGTTACAATTTTGGTTCTATTTCTTTTCAATTGACTCACCTTTCTCCTGATACCACATAATGTTAAAAATACTCCTTTGAAGCCATTGGCGGTAATCCTTCTTTACACATTGAGAAACCATTGAGAAACTGAAACACAGGTTAACTTTTCTAAGAAGAGCCAGCCGCTGGACAGCTGAGAGAGAGTGGAAAACCAGGTCAGAGAGAATACTGCGGGCCAGGACGCTAAATAGATAATGTCCCCTGTAAGAGTGGGGATGATCTCTTGCCTGACCGTTTGTCCATGTGTGAAAGGCTCTTGCAGCTGGCGCCGCAGCTCAGTAGGCTAATCCTCCGCCTGCGGCGCCAGCACACCTGGTTCTAGTCCTGGTCGGGGCGCTGGATTCTGTCCCGGTTGCCCCTCTTCCAGGCCAGCTCTCTGCTGTGGCCAGGGAGTGCAGTGGAGGATGGCCCAAGTGCTTGGGCCCTGCACCCCATGGGAGACCAGGATAAGCACCTGGCTCCTGGCTTTGGATCAGCGTGGTGTGCCGGCCGCAGTGCGCCAGCCATGGTGGCCATTGGAGGGTGAACCAACAGCAAAGGAAGACCTTTCTCTCTGTCTCTCTCTCTCTCACTGTCCACTCTGCCTGTCAAAAAAAAAAAAAAAAAGGGTGTTGCAGGCCCACTGTAAGGTTCACTCAAGATGCTGGGGATTCAAGACTGCGTGGCAAAGCTGGTTGGTGGAAAGCTTGCTTGTCGCCAAGGGGTGGTTTCAGAAACAACAGGCGTGGATCAGCCTTTAGGAAGAGGAGGGCAGGGAGATTCTTGTGTGCTTGAAGCCCTGCGTGCCTGAGAGGGTTGTACAAGGGGAGGCTGCAGAGAGGGGTGCAGAGCAAAGAGGAAGAGGAATGTATGGGTACTGGGGAGTCATTGAAACTCATCAGTTGAAGGTGAGCTGTGAGTAGGGAGGTGTTGCAGTGAGGAGAGCAGAGAGGAAGACTACACACAATGAGGAGGCGTTTAGGCGATTCTGAATCTACTTGGCTAATTACTGGGCTGTTAGCAATCAGGTTAATATTTTGAGCTATAAAATGGAGATGAATTTGGAGAGTATTGTCAGAGTCAATTAGATGTACTATGGCAGTGCTCAAATTCTGTCCCTCCTACTGCAAATAGCTGTGCTAGTGCATTTTTATGGCAGGGAAAGAAATAGGTTGATGTGTGTTTGATAGAAATTAGAAGAGTGGATTTGTGATTTTGTGTGTTCGAGGGAAAAGCTAAGGAAAATGGAGCTTTGCCATTCTGAAGACTTTCACCTTTTGTTTTGGTTAGTGTTCCGGTCATGAGACGTGAGCCCTGGAAAAACAGTGACAACATTTTTTTTTTAACCCATGCAGTGACAGGAAAAGAATGTCGGTGATCGTTCGAACTCCTTCAGGACAACTTCGGCTCTACTGTAAAGGGGCTGTGAGTATCGGAAAAGTGCCCAGTGCTACAGAGAGTTCTTGGGGCTGCTTTGTTCTGTAGCAGCCTCTGACCGTTTGTCCAAGTGTGGAAGGCTCTTGCGGGTCCACTGTAAGGTTCTCTCAAGATACTGGGGGTTCAAGACTGTGTGGCAAAGCTGGTTGGTGGAAAGCTTGCTTGTCGCCAAGGGGTGGTTTCAGAAACAGCAGATCCGTGTGCTGCGGAAATCCTGGGAGTATGGTTTCTGATTCTACGTTTCCCTTGCTGTGTTGTGACTTTGGGAAGATGATTTGTGTAAGCTTGTGATAATCTTCCTGTACTCTGATCTGTGAGGGAACTTCAGACATTTGTGGAAAAAGGTAACTGTTTTGGTGCAAAAACCTTTGGGATCTATCCATGCATGGGCTTTTCTAACTACATATTTTCCCTGAACTTTCTGAAGCGTCATCTATTGGTTCTCTAGTGTGTTTCTTTACGTGTCACAGAGAACTAGGGTGCAGGTCCCTTGGTCATGTTCATGGGTGGCCTCTTCTGCTTGGTGTCCTTTCTGTTCCGTCTTCTCCTCCTGGTAACCAAATCTAAAAGTATTATCTTGAAGGAAAGGTGTTACTGGTTATGGGTTGTACTTGTAAAGCTAAATCCTGTTAATTCATGGTCCTGTGTATTGAGGGACAGAATTATTTAAGCTTGTTGTATGAGACCATTTCAAATACATGAACCTACATGGGGATCAGTGATTTGTTGAAAATCTTAGCTTTACCAAATTGTCAGAAGAGACGAGTGGTTTCACTTGAGTATACTCTGACTAGGGATTTTAATAATGAGTAATGCATGGGAATTCTAACAGAATTATTTCAGGACCCATGAAAGAATTGTGTGTTTTTAGAAACAACAGCTTAAATTGAGGTCATCTGGGTTATATACTCACATGGTATTCTTTTTTAACTTTCTATTTGTTTATTTGCCATTGTGCACTGGGTACCACAGTGAATGAAAAAGGGTCAATGTGAGGTGCTGGAGAGAGAAAGGCTGACTGCACAGCACTGTAAATCTGAAAATGCTGCAAAGTATATTTTATTTTCATGGAATTTAATCCTCTTCAAACATGACCTCCCTTAAACCAGACTAGATTTCATTAAAAAAAAATCTAATGTCCTGAAATAATGCGATTTATAGTATATGAGAAGTCTCCAAAAACTTCTTGGAAAAATGCACATTATGAAAATTCTATGCATGGACTTCCAGGTTTTCTTATGCTGAAATTTAGTGTTTAATTCCATTTTCCCATGGATTCTATGAAGTCCCCTTCTAGCTGATTGGTTATCAACTAAGAGGAGGCTTCATCTAGTCCCCCAGTCCTGCTTGTCAGACATGGCGATCACCACCAGGTAGTGAGCTGCGTTCACCCGTGTGCCTCTTGGCAGAACTGGCTTCAGCATCGCATGCACCCTCTGCTTCAGAGCCACTGCACTATCAGCAGGCGGGGTTGTACTTGAGTTAGTTAGGATATGCATTTTACCTTTCCCACTTGCACACAGGCCTCTTGTAAATTTTGAGTGTGAGCTTTCCAAGTTCGGTTGGATGTTATCATCGGGACTTGAGAGTCCCTGATTATTCCTCTGGCTCCCCACCATGTTTTTGTTTGGGTTTTACAGTACATACCAGGCGTTGGTTTTGTTGGACACATTTGTACCCAATTTGTTTTCCAAAGCTTCTGCCTGAACCCAGCCAAGAACTCTATTCCTACTTGCCCACTCAAGTATTCTCATGCGCATTTGATAAACACTAACCAAACAAAGCCCTGATTATTAGCAATCCCTCTGGAAGATTTGCTTAAGGAATTACCAGTCACAGTGTTTTCCTATTTTATAGGATAATGTAATTTTTGAGAGACTCTCAAAAGACTCAAAATACATGGAGGAAACATTATGCCATCTGGAATATTTTGCCACAGAAGGTAAGTGAAGTTTGGAAATGTTTCTTGTGACTATTGAAATTGAACTTGCAAGTGTGTTTGGCTGGTGCTTGGATAAGGAGTCCTGGTCTGAATAGGCGTGACCTTTTTGTGCCGTACATGGCTTGTTTCGTAGGAATACATTCTTCAGGTACCTACCCGAGCCCCCTCCCGTTCCCACATTCTGTGCCTGTGGCAGTGATGAGGTGCATGGCAAAGTCTGAACTCAGTGACTTGTATGCGACTGTGCTGACTCATTACTGATAGTACAGAGGGAAGGCAGAGTAACTCACAGCATGAGGACTCGCTTTCTCAGAAAAAGTATGTGGTTAAATCCCTGTCCCTCACTTGTTGTCTTTTTTTATTTTTAATTTTTATTTGACAGATAGAGTTAGACAATGAGAGAGACAGACAGAGAGAAAAGTCTTCCTTCCATTGGTTCACCCCCTAAATGGCCCGCTACAGCCAGTGCTGCGCCGATCCGAAGCCAGGAGCCAGGCGCTTCCTCCTGGTCTCCCATGCGGGTGCAGGGGCCCAAGCACCTGGGCCATCCTCCACTGCCTTCCTGGGCCACAGCAGAGAGCTGGACTGGAAGAGGAGCAACCGGGACTAGAACCTGGTGCCCATATGGGATGCCAGCGCCGCAGGCGGAGGATTAACCTAGTGAGCCACGGCACCGACCCCTCACTTGTTGTCTTTATGACACTGGCTTGTCTATGACTTTGGAAATAATTCAGTGAGCCCATTGTGAGCAACCAAGGCTTTGCATACCACTGATGTCAGACATTGCCCCCAGAAAATGTGATCATAGCTGAACCCACATTTAAATGCTGACTGCTGCTTTCTTGCCATAGGACATTCCTAGGGCTACACATGAACACATATGCAAGTGTACTGACACACACACACACACACACACACACATGCATGAGCACGGCTGCTTCAAAGCCTGGGTCTTTCAGGTGCTAGCACACTCGGCTCTTTACTGCTTTCTAGAAACGTATTTCCTGCCTGTTCTATTTGTTGACTCCTGCTTGCTGCACCTGTGCCCATGGATCCTGCACAGCACCTCTGCCTCTCTGCTGTGCTGAATTCACTCTTAGGAGTTCGTGTTTATGCTCGGATTCACAGAACAGATTTTTTCTATTAGAATTCAGTAGAATTGTTTTTAGATGTCCCTGTGTAGATGTGTGAATGCTGAAGTTCGGGTGACCCGAAAATCAGATGGTTTCTTTTAATTTTTTGAGCATGCGTATATAAAAGGGAAGCACGGGATGTCCCCCCCGGGGGTGGTGGTGTCAGCACTCTGCTTGTCCCCATTCACTAGTGGCTGTTTTGCAGGCTTGCGGACCCTATGTGTGGCTTACGCTGATCTCTCTGAGAATGATTATGAAGAATGGCTGAAGGTCTATCAGGAAGCCAGTACCATACTGAAGGACAGAGCCCAGCGGCTGGAAGAGTGTTACGAGATCATTGAGAAGGTAATCACACAGGATGTGGCTTCTACATGCTCCCCGGAGGACTTAACCACCTTCTGAATGCAGTCTTTGATCAGGAGATCATTCACTATAGAGTCATGCTCTGCTTCTTTGTATTTTTTTTTTTTTTTGACAGGCAGAGTGGACAGTGAGAGAGAGAGACAGAGAGAAAGGTCTTCCTTTGCTGTTGGTTCACCCTCCAATGGCCGCCACGGCCGGCTTGCTGCGGCCGGCGCACCGCGCTGATCCGATGGCAGGAGCCAGGAACCAGGAACCAGGTGCTTTTCCTGGTCTCCCATGGGGTGCAGGGCCCAAGCACTTGGGCCATCCTCCACTGCACTCCCTGGCCACAGCAGAGGGCTGGCCTGGAAGAGGGGCAACCAGGACAGAATCTGGCGCCCCGACCGGGACTAGAACCCGGTGTGCCGGCGCCGCTAGGCGGAGGATTAGCCTAGTGAGCCGCGGCGCCGGCCTGCTTCTTTGTATCTTAATGAACCGTTAGTTTAAAATCATTTCTTTCTTTGCTTTAAGAACTTAGTTTTCATGGATTATCTGGAAGATCTACTCACTCTCAGCTAACATTAATAATATCAGAAGAAATATCACGTCAGAACAGCACCAGTGGCTTTCTGGGATTGCCTAAGATTAAGCTTCATGAGGTTCTTGTACCATGTTGTGTTACATGTGCACCCAGAATGCTGTAGGCTGGTTAGACATCATGCACACTAAGAATTTTCATACTTACTTATTCTAATGATATTTAAGCTCCATCATAGCTACTTACTGTTGTGGACTTTCATTTTCATTTGTTGTTGTTACCCTTTGAGTGTACCCATGGCTTTGAGAAGCTTTCTAGTTACTAGATTTCTCCAAATCTGGGCGCTGGGTTTCAGCTATTTTTCTGTTTCATGTGAGCGAATACTGGCCATCCATTTTTCAGTTTCTATAACTTTGAAACCATCACCTGTTCAGTTTTTCCAGTCCTTTATTGTTTTTTTTTTAATTCCCCTTTGCTTTTTTATTCTCAGTTTTCATTTGAGTTTTATCTTCAGTCATTTCAGTGGAATTTAAATAGGAGCAGAACTGAATTTAAGCCTTCATTAATCCTTGCTTTATTGGTATTTAAGGAGAAAAAGACCCCGAGTCAGGTTACTTTTAACAAAATTTACTTGAGCTAGGAAAGGGTCTCGAACAGAGCAGCAGTCCTGAGGGAAGATGGTTCTTAATGCCCCACTTCACCACATGTGCAGGTTCTGTTTACAGCCAGGGTACAGGAAGTGACTGCAGACACAAGCTGATTGGCTGCTGTCAGAGTCTCCTTTATGTGGTACTGTTTTGGCAGCTCTTAGCCCTTTAATTGGCTGGAAGTTCAGTGCCTATGATAGGCTGAGATGCAGTTGCTTGGTTACAAGAGTATCTTTAGATTGGATTATAGTTTATTTGCACATCAATATATGATATGGTTTGCTATATACACAGGGTGCTGTGGACTACACTTTATCACCCAAACATGAAGACAAGGTTACACCAAACACTGGAAATACACAAAATTTCTTCCAGAATAATTTTGAAAGAGTGACTAAATAGGTAGCACGCCCGTGTGGTTTGGGTGGATGCTCAGGAGGTAGCCGAGTTTTCCCATCATCTGGGGACTACATGGTAAGAGGCACATGTGCAGAGGCTCCGGAATCTCCCAGACCAGCAGGCAGAGTGCAGGGCAGCTACACATGCACACCCATTCTCAGCGTGAGCTGACCCATCCTGGGTCTTGAAGTGGACGACCAGGGGCAGCCCTCTGCAGCTCCTCAGTGTTAAGGTGCTTGGGTGTTTTCTTCTCCGGTCGTTAAATTCCTAGACTCACAAGTCCCTTCCTCCTGAACCAGTTCTCAGTGTTAAATATAGCACAGTGCTTGACTCATTAGCTGAGCAAGAGGGGTGGCCTCATGGGATTACTGTTCTCTGGAAATTGTGTCATAGGCTCTGCTGCCTGTGTGTTCCATGCTAACAAGCCCATGTGCCATGACACCAATGATGGGTGCTGGGCTGCCCCTGTGGGTGGAGTGGTCTGAACCCCACGGGTCATTTAGAAAGGCCCCATGCTAAGATGTCTTGGTCATCTGCAGACCCAGGGTTCCTGTGGAGACAATAAGTAAGATAACTGTTTCAGGACACTGGCATTGCCTTTCTTTTGTCAGCGTTCTGTTGTTAATGCTGTTCTTCAGAATGAACCCATCATTAACTGAAGATGCTTTTCAATCTAGAATTTACTGTTACTCGGAGCCACAGCCATAGAAGACCGCCTGCAGGCCGGGGTGCCAGAAACCATAGCAACTCTGCTGAAGGCAGAAATTAAAATATGGGTGTTGACAGGAGACAAACAAGAAACTGCAATTAACATTGGTAATTAATTTTAAAAATTATTTGCTGATGCTGGTTTTTGTAAAGTGTTTTTGAAGTGTCTTGTGGATATGTCTGAGTTTCTCAAATACATTGACAGATGGTGATTTTTAGAACTGTTGGTTTGCAAGGCCAAGAAAAGTTTGCTTGTGAAGATGGTCTTAGGGGCATCCTCTCTACCTGTTATCAACATTAAAATTATCCCATATACCTGGAAAGGATCAAACACACACATTCTACGGAATTCAAGAGTTGACCGTTGTGGTTTTCATGCTGCTTTCTTCACAATATATAAGTCTAAGAGTCATTTTTTCTACTGGACTTAAATATGCATTGTTATTTTATGTAATTATAGGCATTTTGATGATTTCACTAATTAATGACATTTTCTAAGAGCCTTGCCTTCTTTTCTTTCCCCATCTTGGTTGGAAGTCTCCTTTCTTGCTAAGAATCACAGGGATGAAAATTGAAGAATGGGAATTTAAGTCAAAATGACTTTGTCGGGGCTGGTGTTGTGGTGTAGAAGGTAAAGCTGCTGCATCCCACATGGGCACTGGGTTAAGTCTCGACTGCTCCACTTCTGATGCAACTCCAGGCTAACGCACCTGAGAAAGCAGCAGCAGATGGCCCACAAGCTTGGGTTTCTATACCCATGTGAAAGACTGAGATGAAGCTCCTGGCTTCTGGCTCCGGCCTGGACCAGCACTGGCCATTACAGCTATTTGGGGAGTGAACCAGTGGGTGGAAGATCTTTCTCTTTCTCTCTGTCTCTCTCTGTATGTGTATGTGTGTGTGTGTGTCTGTGTGTGTGTGTGTGTATGAACGTGTGCATGTGCTTCTGTCTATAGCTCTTCCTTTCAAATCAATTGATCAGTCTTTAAAAGTCAGCTTTGTTAGGGTTAAAGAGATGCATTTTTATAAATGAAGGATATCGTGTGTTGTTATAAATAGTATTTGTCTGTGTTTATATATAGACTTGCTCTTCTGGAATAACTTCTCATACAATTTGACCTAAAACACCTGCTGTTAATCAGTGGTCCTATTGTTCAAGTTGATTATTGCTCAGAAATGCTTACCTGAAATTTAGATGTTGTGCTTTCTGCCCTCTTGGAGTGGTAGGAAAAATGGGCAACCTCTCCAGTTAAAATTGAGCTGCAGTGAGAACGCCGTCTCCAGGATCTCAAGTGTTCTGATGGACTAATGACCTGTGCAGGCTGCTAGCCACAGACTTCTGCTGTGCTTTACTGTGTCTGCTGTTGGAGCTGCCAGCACACAGGCGGGGAAGGCGTCTCCCCTCTCTTGTAGGTGCTCTCAGTTGCGGCTGCTCCAAGCCTTACAAAATAATTAATACCTAGACAATTTTTTTTGAAAATAGTGATTGTATTATTTTGTATTATTTTCAGAGAAGGTGTGCTGACATATTTAGTGTTAGTACTAGAAGCACTTACTCTTTTTCTTTAATATGAAATGCTTATTCTTTAATATACTTTAAAAATAGATATTTTATTTATTATTTTATTTATTTGAAAGGCAGATAAAGTGAGAAACAGAGAGCTTCCATCCATGGTTTCCTCTCCAGATATGCACAATGGACAATGGCTGAGGGTAGGCTGAGCTAAAGCCAGGAGACCAAATCTAGATCTCCCACATGAGTGGCAGGGATCAAGTACCTAAGCCATTGCCTGCTGCCTCCCAGGGCGTACACTAGCAGAGCTGGGATTCGATCTTAGAAACTTATATGAGATGCACATGTCCCAGGAAGCACCTTAATCTCTGCACCAAATACCTGTCTTATCAGATGTTTCTTTTTTTTTTTTTTTTTTTTTTTTTTTTTTGTTTGGACAGGCAGAGTTAAACAGTGAGAGAGAGACAAAGAGAAAGGTCTTCCTTTTGCCGTTGGTTCATCCCCCAAATGGCTGCTACGGCCGGCACGCTGCGCCAATCTGGAGCCAGGAGCCAGGTGCTTCCTCCTGGTCTTCCATGCGGGTGCAGGGCCCAAGCACTTGGGCCATCCTCCACTGCACTCCTGGGCCACAGCAGGGAGCTGGACTGGAAGAGGAGCAACTGGGACAGAACCGGTGCCCTAACAGGGACTAGAACCCGGGGTGTCAGCGCTGCAGGTGGAGGATTAGCCAAGTTTAGCGCCAGCCCATTGGATGTTTCTTAATTGGTCTTAGCAAATACTCCTCAAGACCACTGGAAGATGATGCCTCCTACTTACAAGCTGATGACTTTGGACTGTCTTAGGATGAGTGATTCTTTTTTTTTTTTTTTTAAGATTTATTTTATTTATTTGAAAGACAGAGTTATAGAGTGGTAGAGCCAGACAGAGAGAGAGAGGTCTTCCATCTGCTGATTCCCCAAATGACTTCAATGGCCAGAGCTGAGTTGATCCGAAGCCAGGAGCCAGGAGCTTCTTCCAGGTCCCACGCAAATGCAGGGGCCCAAGAACTTGGGCCATCTTCCACTGCTTTCCCCGGCCCCAGTAGAGAGCTGCTTTGAAAGAGGAGTAGCTGGACTCAAACCGGCGCCCGTATGGGATGCTGGCACTGCAGGCTGGGACTTTAACCCACTGCACCCACAGCACTGGCCCCAGGATGATTGATTCTTATATATTTCAGTGTTTTCTTAGTGGCACATATCACAAGTGCTCATCTTGTGATATTTGTTAGGTTTGGGATGCGGGTTGTTGGCTCTCTTTAGCATTTGACTTTTTTTTTTTTTTTTTTTTACCTAAGTCTCAGAGTTTGAGAATTTATTTTTATAGGGTAACTTTCCATTCATACCTTGGAAATAAATATGCTTAGTCAAGTTGAATTCCAAGACACTTGAGTCTCTGATGAGCCAATGAACTTTGTATAGATAGATGGGTTAGCTTGCATGTGGGTTTTACTAGTTTGAATCTGGCAAGTGGTCAGAACCCTGCAGTGCAGTGCTGGAATTTATGCTAATTAGCTGTGTCAGTGGAGGGGGAGTTGGCAGCTTTCTTAGTTTAAAAATTTGGCATGCACCAGTCTAAAGTGAAATTTCAGATGTGGCCTTTGTGAACACAGTCATCATTTCCTCATTGCCACTGGATGAAACATCTACTAAGTAGTTACACAGTAGATGGGGAGTTTTCAGTCTCTAATCCTATTCTAAAGAGTGTGGGATGAGTGAGAACAGAATCATGGTATGTATTCCAGGTTCAAGTCATCCAGTCACAGACTGCTTTCATCTCAAACCATTTCTGAGATAGACATCTGAATCTTCCCGGGCCCCCTGCATGTTGTTATCTGTTGTTTGATATTTTAAAACTACTTAAAAAATAGATTGTACTGTGAATATTCAAGTTATACAACATGATGTAATGGGATTGACTTAGAAGCTAATTTTCCAAAACAAGTACATGTGCGGCTTGCGCATCCTGTTATTGCCTGTGCAGCGCCTTGCTCATTGAAAGGAAGACACATCCCCATTCTCAGGGGGAGCTTGCTGGGCTGTGGCAGTCACAGCCCTGCTGGTGGTCTAAGTCTTAGCGTTATTTTTCCTCAGAAAATTCAGATTTGCATTTCTTGATTTCTGGAAGCTAGTGTTGCGGCAAGGTGCTCCTCTATAGACCTGGGGAAGTTATATTCCTGTTTGGGGCATGAATTAGCTATGAGACAAATAAGAGACACATAACCTATGGGACGAATGGCACAGATGAGAAGGTACTAACTGTGCAGTTCTGTACCAGTTCCCAGTAAACGCTATCTCTTGGGTTAAGTCCTTCACATCTGCCTTATGTTAAATCTCCTTACAGGTAGGATCTCCCTTTTGAAGGTCAAGCTGGGACACAGGGAGATGTAATGTCTTAGCCCAGGTGACAGGGGTGAGGGTGCTGAGTCCAGGGTACTTCCCCATACCACACAATGTTCACTTCCCACAGGAAAAAAAATGAGAATTGCAGAAGGCCTCATGAGCAAACAGATTTAAACATGAACCTTCTAGAATTTGTAGGAAACAAAACAGCAGCAAAACACCATAGTGCCTATGCAGCAGGTCAGAGTGGGAGGCGGAGAAGCGAAGACCGAGGCTGCTCCTTAGAAGGCGGAGAGCCTGCAGGAAAAGGTGCCCAGGGGCGTGGTTCCGTGGACAAGGCCTCAGCTCACGGGTTCTGAGTGATGAAGGACCCTGGGCCGCAACACTCTGATCCCACCTGGAGAAGCCCCAGGGCCCATGTCTGTTGCCTGGTTATGGGGTCTGTCAGTGTTGCTTATGCACGCACACTCAAGCACTGGACAGGTTCCCCAGGGAAACACTTAGAACCAGCAGGACACCTTTTGTTGTGGGTTGGCACTGTGTTTTTTCTCAGTGTTGGGCAGTTGGGTTTAAGTGATCCCAGGACGCATGGTGGTGAGGATAACATGGTTCCAGGGTCAGGATTTGGTCTAGTGCTTAAGACAACAGATGGGACACCCTCATGCCTGTGGGAGTACTTGGGTTCCATTCCTGCTCTGCTCCTGATTCCAGCTTCCTGCTAATGTGTATCCTGGGAGGCAGCAGGTGACAGCTCAAGTACTCGGGTCCTTACTACCACATGTGAGACTTGGGTCAAGTTTCTGCCTTCTGAGTGTATCCTGGCCCAGACCTGGCTGTAAGGCATTTGAAAAGTAGACCAGCAAATGAGAGCACTGTCTGTCTCTCAAATAAAGAAAAATTGTAAAGAGAATTTAAATTTTAAAAATTATCTCCAGAGAAAATGGAATGTGGATATCATCAATATGATCTTACCTTTTTTTTTTTAAGATTTTATTTATTTATTTGAAAGTTAGAGTTACAGACAGAGAGAGGAAGAGACAGAGAGAGAGGTCCTCGATCCACTGGTTCACTCCCCAAAATGGCTGCAATGGCCGGAGCTGCGAAGATCTGAAACCAGGAGCCAGGAACTTCTTCTGGGTCTCCCACGCGGGTGCAGGGGCCCAAGGACTTGGGCCATCTTCTACTGCTTTCCCAGGCCATTGCAAAGATCTGGATCAGAAGTAGAGCAGCTGGGACTTGAACCGGCACCCATATGGGATGCTGGTGCCACAGGCGGAGGCCTAATGTACTATGCCACAGCGCCAGCTCTACGATCTTACCTTTAAAAATAGAAAAGGAACACTGGTTGAGATACCCGAGGGATTTGGTTTGGGCACATTTTCTAGTGTGAAGTATTATTTTATTGTCTTAAAAGCTAGTCTTGCTCTAAGTGCTGCAGACTCTGAAATGTTTGGGTTTCTTTGAATGTTGATTATACTCCCGCAGCAGAAAGACCAAACGCCTTTGTAGTGTGCTGTTAATTTCAGCTGCAGTAAAAACGAAATCCCTAAGGGTTCTCCTCGGGGTCATTTTATGGCTGTCCTGTGAGGCTGCAAGATTGAAGAAGGAGGCCTCAATTTACAAGTGTGGATTGACATTCTGTGGCTGGCTCTTCTCCAGGAGTTGATCTCATTTTATCCAAAAACATTAGAAATCAAGCACACCAAACCTGGATTGACATAATTGAGTTTACTACATTAGCTAAGTCACAATTAACTGGGTTAAACTTCCATGGTCTGTCTAGTGCAAGTGTTCTGTGTGATAATTCTCTAAGCAAGATCTCACCTCATTTTCCAAATTAAAAACAAAAAAACAAAAAAGATCCCTTAATCTGTTTCTTCTCGGAAGCCTTTAGTTTTGTATATTTAACTTTATGAAAATGTCAGTCATTTTATTTATTGCTCTCCCCCTAACCCAGCTAGAAAAAAATACTTGAGACTTATTCTGGAATATTTTTGTGTAACTTCAGTTGTCAAGTGGCATTTTGCTTAAAGTGAAAAATATAAAATAAAGCAGTAAGCGAGAGCTTAAAAATTACAGCTTGCTTCTGCAGCTGTTGTTCAAATAAAAACAACCTGCCAGTAATCCTTTTGCATTAGTTATAGAGAATTTGTAACAGCCCCTGCTGCTGACGTTGCTGGGATCCCTGAGGTTGCAGAGGAGTAACCTGACATAGAGGGAAATGATTAAAGTTGCAGTACGTACCCTCGTTGTAACTGAAGAGAAAATGTAGACCTCCCTTCTGAACCTAATCTAGAAACTTACAGGAAGAAAGAATGTATTTGTAAAATTTTAAAGGAAATGAAGAAAGCAGTTTTCCCAATCCTATTAAGCAGAACTTTGGAGTAGTAAGACTTGGAGTAGTTTTAAAATGCTTATTAAAATTTATTTATTTATTTGAAAGCCATGGAGACAGAAAAGGAGAGCTGGGGAAGACAGAGAGACACCTTCCATTTGCTTCCATCTCCTGTCTTCCATCAAATGCCTGCCACATGCAGGGCTGGGCCGGGCCTAAGCCAGGAACCAGGAATACAGTTCAGGCCTCTTCCGTGAGTGTCAGGGACACAGCTCCTTGAGCCATCACTTGCTGCCTCCCAGGATGTGCATCAGCGAGAGGCTGAAATTCAGAGTGGAGCCAGGTCATGAATCCAGGAAAGTGATGTGTGTTGTGGACATCCCAAGTGATGTCTTCAAAAGCATGTCTCTATTCACAATGTTTAATGGCATTTGAAAGTCTAGCTTTTACCCATCGCTATTGTTAAAAGTAAGACTTGGAGTAATTTTAAAATGTTTAAAAAAATGTTTCTTACTCACTCTCCGTTCCCCCCTTTTTGGTTTTGGGCATTTGCCTGTGTGGTATTGAAATGTTATTCAGTTTTTTTTTTAAAAAAAAGAAATGTTATTCAGTTTTGAAGTAATTGTTTGGCCTTATGGTTAAGACACCTGCACCCCCCCCCCCCCATTAGAGTAACTGGGTTCGGTTCCTGACTCTACTCTTGCTGATGTGGACCCTGGGAGGCAGCAGGTGATGGCTCCAGTGATTGGGTTCTTGCCATCCTTACATGTAAGACACCTGTATTGTATTCTTGGCTGCTGGCTCTGGTCTCTGCCCAGTCCCAGTTGTTGTCGGCATTTGAGGAGTGAACCAACATATGGAAGCTCTCTCTGACTTTCAAGTAAATAAAATAAATTGTTATCAAATTTGTTTTAGTTTTTAAAAGAAATAATCTCATTCCTTTAAGAAAAAGCTTATTAATAACCTGGATTGTATCTTTTATGGTATTGTTAAAGATAACATTTGAATTAAAAGCCATAATTTTGTCCCTTAAAATTTGTGTTCTGAAGTGCTTTATAAATTATTCTTTCCAAATGGCAATTGTTAGTGAAGGTTATGTTTGTTCATTGCCAAAATAAACAAAAATATGTATTTCGCAGCCTCTCCCCCAAAACACAGCTTTTTCTTGGTCTTAAATTTTGTCTGTGTTGAATTGCATCTTGTGCCTATTGCTAGAGTTTCTTAAGAATGAGCAGAAACGTGCTGAGTAGGGCCACACACATGGGTTTGGTGGTCTTGTCTCTGGCCCAGTCTCCTTTCCTTGGTATGTGGAGCATCTGTGAGGACGGGTTTCGTGTTCTGCCTGGAGATTCCAGGGCACCCCGTTGAGGAGACTTCAGAAGCTCATGGAAAATGGAATTAAAAGATGAATTTGACTGCAAAAAATGTGAAATGTGTGCAGTCTTTCACAGGATGCATTTTTCATGAACTTTTTGAAGTATTTGTGTACTTGCTGGAAGGTTGAAATTCTGTGTGATGCTTTGCTTCATTTTCCTATAATCATTGACCCATTATCTGAAGATGCTGGACAAAAAGTTGGTTTGAGGGCCATTTTTCTAGGTGAGAGCTTTCTTCCTTGCCTTTTCCCAATGAGATGGATAGAGATGGGGGTGGTGAGAAGTGTGTGGTGATGCCAGCCCTCTCTAGGGCACAGAGCGGGTGCAGCTGATTTGAAGCAAAAATTGGAGCCCTGGCTATTGCCACAGGTCGTACAGGTTACTGGAGCTTCCTCCCCACAGGGCATGTGGACCTGGATGGGAAGAATCCAGAGGCTCTTGTGTGGTCACTGAGCAGTCATCTAGTTCAGAGCCTGAGGAGGAAGGAGCTTCTAGAAAAAACATTCCCCGTACTGAGAAAAAAAGTAGAGAAGAGGATCTCATTTAACCTATGGGACAACTTTTTTAAAAAAACTGAGAAGGAAATTGCAAGGTGTCTTGCGCGGAACAAGTCTTCCCAGCCAGATGAATCAATTAATTTACAAGCTTTTATTGGAATTCCGCTCCCTGGCCAGGTTCACCAGTGCCAACAGAGCGGGGTTAGGGAAGTTGCGTATCAGAGGTTGGGAGGGCTCCTTTTGAAGATACAGGGCATGAGGGTTAAAGGTTGAGGTGGGTCTGATCCTCACTGGTTGACCTTTAGGCACCCGTGGGGACCTTGACAAGGACTTTTCATTCCTGGAAGTGCAGGTAGGGACTCTCTATTCCCGGAAGTGTGGGCCTCCTCTCTTGTGGATCCCGAAGCCACCAGAAATGTTTAAAGAGTTAGGGATACTTTTGTTCCAAACAAACATTGTTTTAAATTTCATTGTTATTGTTGTTGTTAAATGCAACTCAGGGTTTAAATCTTTTTTTTAAATAAAGATTTATTTATTTATTTATTTGAAAGGCAGAGAGAGAGAGAGAGAGATCTATCTATTTATCTATCTATCTGCTGGTTCACTCCCCAAATGGCTACAATGGCCAGAGCTGGGCTGATCCAAAGCCAGGAGCCAGGAGCTTCTTCTGGGTCTCCCACATGTGCCATCCTCTGCTGCTTTCCCAGGCACATTAGCAGGGAGTGGGATTGGAAGTGGAGCAGCCAGGACTTGAACCGGAGCCCATATGGAGTGCCTGTGCCACAGGCAGCGGCTTTACCTGCTAAGCCACTGCACCAGTCCCAGGATTTAATTCTCGAAATGGCGATTACTTTTGTCAGGAAAAGTGACTCTCAAATTGTGCAGTAGTACCGCCTTGAAACCTGTTGTGAGAACTGCCTACTTTTTAGAAAGGCGCTGAGGGGTCTGGGTATTCCAGTAGGCATATTTATGCTGATTTAGGAGCACTGTTAAATTCCATTTGTCTTCCTAAAGTGTTTGCTGTTACTTTAGATAATCCAAGGCTTATCCTAATGTTTTACAAGGATGACAGGCATAAAGAAAAATCCACAGAAAATTGACAAGTATTTATTTTAGCCTTTAGTTTTAAAGACCTTCCCAGCCAGTTCTATTCAAGCTGTCTGCGAGAATCAAAATCTTTTCCTATCCCTCACTTTGCCCTATTCCTCTGTGTCAACCAATAGACTTAAAACAGTACTAAGGTGAAAGAGAAGAGGTTGAATTTAAATAACCTTAGAAAACCGATGAGCCTGTGGAAGAAACAATAAATTCACATGTTGTCTCTTCCCCACTTTAGGATATTCCTGCCGATTGGTGTCACAGAATATGGCTCTTATCCTACTAAAGGAGGATTCTCTGGATGTGAGTAGTTTTTTAAAAATTGCAATTGGTTTGTTTCTATTATGCTAATCAGGGTTTATTTTTTCTACCAAACAATCATAAGACTATCCTGTGTTTTCTGTTTGTAATTTTGAGTGGACGTTATAAAGCCTTATCTTTAAATATCAATATTATCTTAGAATGTTGCTTCATGGTAATACTTTGTTGTACTCACCTATAATTGTGCATTTAAAATGCATTAGTTTTCATCTGGTTGAGCTTCAGACATTAACTATGAAGTATTAATGACACCTTTTATGATTTACGTTAAGTGGTGACGGTAAACTACAATGTAGATGGCTAAAGAGATTTGTAGAATTTTCTTTATAAAGATCATATCTAAGTGTTGGAAGCTGTTTACATTTCTATAGTAGTAGGATACATGTGCACTTAATTCCTCAACATCCCAAAGCCACCAGCTCCTGGGGAATTGAACACCATGGTTTCCTGAGTATTTCATGGACATGTGTCCACCCCATCACAGCCGAAAGGCACTGAAGAGACCAGGTTGGAGCTGACTCTTGCGTAACCAGTGACCTGTGATGTGGTTTGGTTTGAAAATAGGAGCTGAACAATGAAATTCCATTTTTGAGATTAACAAGGGCCCAGTTAAGGGCAAGCACTTGGGCAGTGAGATAATAACAGATGACGGGTCTAAGTACAGTTTTAAGGGGAGAAGTTGTAGTACACAGACTTGCAACCCCAGGAGGACATGGATCCTGCTGTGTAGACAAAGGCATTCTCTCTGCCCTCACAACTCCATGGTCAGCAGTCAGGGAGCCTGCAGTATTTCCAGGGTGCCCCTTTTTGTGTGAATGCTTCTGCATTCATCTTATTGAGCCTCTCCTGCCTTTGTTTGTGTGCCACCTGCAAGAAGCCCTGCAACCCAGGTCCTGCTCAACTCTGGACTCTGACTCGCACATGCTCTGAGGTACTAAGGAAAGCTCCCTTGTGCTATGGATTCCACTTTTCCAAGCATTCCCATTGTGCCTTAATTTTCTTCGTAGAATTTTTCTGCATTGGAAAGTGTGTGTGTGTGTGTGTGTGTGTGTGAACTGTGGCACAGGTTATAATTCAGTGGCACTGTTGTGTAACCACCAGCAGCATCTGTTCAGAGAACTCCTTTTGTCCCCATTAAACTCAACCTCTGTCTTCCCTATCACAGCCCCTGGCAACCAGCATTCGACTTTGTGCCTATGAATTTGACTACCTTAGGGATCCCTCAAAGTGGAATCTTACAGTATCGTGATTTTCATGACTGGTTTATTTCACTTAGCAGAAGGTCTTCAAGGCTCATCCATGCTGCAGCGTGTGCTGGAATCTTCCCTTCTTACAGCTAACAGCCCATGTGCATATTTTGTTGATCCTTACAGTTGTAGATGGACACTTGGATGACTTCCAACTTTTGGCTGTTGTGAATAAAGCTGCTATGAATACTGATGTGTCAACATCTTTTAGAGATCCTGCTTTCAATTCTTTTGGATTAACAAGGGTGCTTCAAAAGTTTGTGGGAGGGGCTGGTGCTGTGACATAGCAGGTAAAGCCGCCACCTGCATTGCTCGCATTCCATATGGGCACCAGGTTTGAGTCTTGGCTGTTCCACTTCCTGTATAGCTTACTGCTGATGTGCCCGGGAAAGCAGCAGAGATGGTCCAAGTCCTTGGGCCATTGTACCTACATGGAGGAAGCTCCTGGCTCCTGGCTTCGGATCTTCCCAGCTGTGGCCATTTAGGGAGTGAACCAGTGAATGGAAGATCTCTCTCTCTCTCTCTCTGCTTCTGCCTCTCTATATCTATGCCTTTCCAATAGATAAAGAAATTTTAAAAAATATTTGTGGAAAATGGAATTAAAATACATTGATTTTGGTGCAAAAATTTTCATGTAGTGTTTTTTTGCAGAATATGCATTTTTCTGTGAATATTTTGAAGATCCCACCACCACTATAAGCATGGATTGCAATTTTTTTTTTTAAGATTTATTTATTTGAAAGGCAGGGTTAGAGTGAGAGAGAGAGAGAAGGATCTTCCATCTTCTGGTTCACTCCCCAAATGGCTGCAATGTCTGGAGCTGGGCCAGGCTGAAGTCAGGAGCCAGAAGCTTCTTCCAGATCTCCCACTTGGGTGGCAGAGCCCCAAGCACTTTTGCTATCTTCCACTGCTTTCTCAGGCACATTAGCAGGGAGCTGGATCAGAAGTGAAGCATCGGGGACTCGAACTGGCATCCACATGGGATGCTGATGTTGGCAGGCAGTGGCTTTACCAAAACGAACTTATTTTTTCTTTTTAAGATTTATTTATTTATTTGAAAGCAAGAGTTACAGAGAGGCAGAGGCAGAGAGAGAAGTCTTCCATCTGCTGGTTTACTCCCCAAATGGCTGCAATGGCTGGAGCTGTGCCGATCTGAAGCCAGGAACCAGGAGCTTCTTCTAAGTGTCCCAAGTGGATGCAGGGGCCCAAGCACTTGGGCCATCTTCTACTATTTTCCCAGACCATAGCAGAGAGCTGGATCTGAAGTGGAGCAGCTGAGTCTTGAACTGGCACGCATATGGTATGCCGGCACTGCAGGCATTGGCATTACCTGCTATGCCACAGTGCCATCCCCTGACATATTTTTAAATTTCGTTTTCCATAAGCTTTCTGAAGTATCCTTGAATATCCAGAAGTGCCGTTTCTGAATCATACAGTACTTTTATGTTTCAGTTTTTGAGGAACTGCTTTACTGTTTTCATTCATAGCTAAACCATTTTATGTTCCTACCAACAGAGGACAAGGCTTCTGATCTCTCCACATTCTTGTCAACGCTTGTGGTTTTTTTATTTTTTATAATAACCATCCTAATGGGTATAAGGTGTTATCTAATTGTGAAGAATTATTTTATTTGACAGATTTATACACAGAGAGAAGGAGAGGCAGAGAGAGAGAGAGAAAGAGAGAGAGAGAGGACTTCCATTCCGCTGGTTCACTCCCCAAATGACCGCAATGGCCAGAGCTGAGCTGATCCAAAGCCAGGAGCCAGGAGCTTCCTCCAGGTCTCCCATGGGGGTGCAGGGGCCCAAGGAGTTGGGCCATACTCTACTACTTTTCCAGACCACAGCAGAGAGCTGGATCGGAAGAAGAGCAGCCAGGACTTGAACTGGTGCCCATATGGGATGCTGGTGCTGCAGGCTAGAGCTTTAACCTGCTGTGCCACAGCGCCGGCTCCCTTTCCTTTTGGTTTTGATTTACATATCCCTAATAATTAGTGATGTTGAGTATCTTTTTGAATGGATGACGACATTTAAGCTAATGTTTGGTTTTCAATCAGAATTTCTATTTGTAAGTCACACAGGAAGTAATGATGAGGGTAGCCATGATGGACCAAATGTGGGCTCACAATGCTGGGGAGTAGACACTGAGTAGGCCATAGCAGCACAACAGAGGAGAGGGACCAAGAGCTGCTGCAGAAATTCCCAGACCCTGAACAGGTCCACACAACCTGTGAGCACATCCAGGTGCCTGTTTGCTGATGCCTTCCCAGCTTCATGGCATCCAAAACCTTACTAAACAAATGAAAGTAAGTCTCTGTTGGTGTCTGGTGTAGCAGGTAGGTACTTGGGACGTCTGGATTCAAGTCCTGGGTCTGCTTCCAATACAGTTTTCTGATAATGTGCCCCCATGGGAGGCAGCAGGTGATGGCTTAAGTGTTTGGCACCCTGCCACCCACATGGGAGACTTGGGTTGAGTTCTTGGCTCCTGGCCTCAGCCTGACCCACCACTGACTATTGCAGGCATTTGGTAAGTGAACCACTGAGTAGATCTCTCTCTCTCTCTCTCTCTCTCTCTCTATCTCTCTCTCTCTCCCTCTCCCTCTCTCTCCCTCTCCCTCTCTCCCCCTTTTAGATAAATAAAAATAATTAAAAAAAATTTAAGGTCTCCTTTTCCTAGAGGTACCTTGGAAATGAGCCTGTATTTTCCCTTTGTATCAGTGCTGTCTGGAATCCAGGTGATGGACTGTACTTCAACAAAACATGGTGAGACTCAGACCTGTGCTTTACCTAGACCAAAGGGTGGTTTGTGATGCCAAACAAAAGATATTTTGGCTGTGTGCCTGACTGCCTTTAATGTAACCTGTAAAGAATGATTCTTCTTAACCCATTTTGGACTGACTTAGTTGGATGACGTTAAAACGTTCAGTATCTGCTGAGAAGAGGCCCATGTTTTTCCTGTTCGATAGGCAATGGGAGGCTCTGTGTTTCTGACTGCTGACTACAGAGGGATTGTCTTCTTTCTTCTTTTCCCTTGTCTTCCTTCTTGGTTTTTTTTTTTTTTTTTTTTGACAGTGAGAGAGAGAGACAGAGAGAAATGTCTTCCTTCTGTTGGTTCACCCCCCAAAATGGCCGCTATGGCCAGCGCTGTGCCCATCTGAAGCCAGGAGCCAGGTGCTTCCTCCTGGTCTCCCATGAGGGTGCAGGGCCCAAAGACCTGGGCTATCCTCCACTGCCTTCCTGGGCCACAGCAGAGAGCTGGACTGGAAGAGGAGCAACCAGGACAGAAACGGCGCCCCAACTGGGACTAGAACCCGGAGTACCAGTGCCGCAGGCGGAGGATTAGCCTAGTGAGCCACAGCGCCGGCCCATTCCTTCTTGTTCTTGAGTTGAATTAAAGGCATTTCTAGTCCCATCAAAACCTCATTTAGGAGGTGAGGAATAGAAGTGGACACACTGGCTGTTCCCAGGACAATAGATTACGGGCACATTAGATCCCTAGTGGAATGCCTGTGTTGGGCTTTTACAGTCTCAGACCACTGATGAGGAAGCAGAGACACAGACGAAGGAAATGGCCCAGGAATTGGAAGTACTAGACCTGGCTTCTCTTCATCTCCCACATAAGGGTGAGGGTTAAGGGTTTTCCCTCAAAGGCAGAGCTGGCTTCTATCTCCTTTACTTTGCAGTATGGCTAGGCTGAGATCCCAGGTGCTCTAAATGATTAGGGTTCATCTCTGTA